TCCAGAACCGCGCGGTACCAGATCGGATTCGCGCGGACCTGAACTGTCCACAAGTTTAGAACCGCGCGGATCCGAACTGGAACCGCTCCGACCTGACATCTTCGTACGAGTGGAACTGTTTCTAGGTTTCGGTTTCTTATCGGAGCGCATCTTTGCGCACGCGGTCCTGCTCCTTTTTTAACTTTTTTAATTACTGAAAATAGACATATGGTTCCAAATATAAACTTGGAGAGCGTCATCGAAAACCAATAATCAACTCTTTATAGAACGACTTAAGGCTCGTGGGACAGTCGGGGACGCACCAAAGTTACCACTCGTGAAGCAGGTGCAAAGCCGTCAGTGGCGGAACGCAATGATAATCTAATCACCCGCGTTTTTGAAAGTCCCAAAAGCCAAAAACAAACGGCTCGCCGTTTATTTTGGCTTTCGGGTTTTTTGTAAGACATTGAATATATGTATATGTATATGTATGTGTATGTGTGTGTTTATGTGTGTGTGCGTGCGTGCGTGTTCGAAATACAAGCGAACAATAAAAAATAAACCTGCCCGTCTCCCAAACATGTATATTCCAAAGGAAGACTTGTACGTAATCCGTTACAAACAACGAACTCACTTGTAAACCCTTTAACTTATCCGTAATTGTGTAACGGAATAATGGCATAATTGGAAAGTAATTTATTGCTTACACACGTAGCGGCTTCATTGTAAATCGTTACATTTTTATCACGAAAAAATGAAAGCCGCTTACAACTCCCTGTAACGCCGAATTAGAGCGCAGCTCTTGAGGAGGAGGAGGGAAGGGCACTGGGGGGGGGGGGGGGTTAAACTAACCAGAGGGGGGGGGGTCACGTTACCTTGGGGGTCACGTGACCCCCAATGCCGATGATGTCATCACTGACGTCACTGATGACGTCATCAGTGACGATGACGATGCGGGTACCGATGACGTCATTAGTGACGTCACTGATGACTTCACCAGTGATGATGACGATGACGATGCGAATGTCGGTGACGTCATCAGTGACGTCGCTGATGACGTCATCAGTGATGATGACGATGACGATGCGGATGCCGGTGACGACATCAGTGACGTCACTGATGACGTCATCAGTGATGATGACGATGACAATGCGGATGTCGGTGACGTCATCAGTGATGATGACGATGACGATGTGGATGCCGGTGACGTCATCAGTGATGATGACGATGACGATGTGGATGCCGGTGACGTCATCAGTGATGATGACGATGACGATGCGGATGCCGGTGACGTCATCAGTGATGACGATGACGATGTGGATGCCGGTGACGTCATCAGTGATTATGACGATGACGATGTGGATGCCGGTGACGTCATCAGTGACGATGACGTCATCGGGGGGTCACGCGACATCGGCGGGGGTCACGTGACCTCGAGGAGGGGGCCACGTGACTTCGGGGGTCACGTGACACCCCACGAGGTCACGTGACCTTGGTGGGGGGCTCGCGCGGTGCATTATGGGACATTTCCCATGATGCACCGCGCGGTTACGCCGACGCCGACGGCGACGCCGCTCAAGCCGGAAACGGGCCCCTAAGAGCTGCGCTCTAAAAGGCGCGAAGTTTGATTGTGCCAGCACCACGGTCAGACAGGCCACCAACTATTGTGAACACCGTAACGTCATCAACGTGACGTCACCACCGAAGCTACGTTCAACTAATCCAACGTTGCCACATCCCAGGTCCGTAACCGAAAGCGTATTTTCGTCGATCGTAGGCAATAGCTTCAGCCGATGCCGTCACTTTGAACACGGATTGAGCACGCACCCGCAGAGCCCGCAATCCGCAGAGAACTATCTACGATAAGTCCTTTGAATCGCAGCGGGCTCTGAGCCATTCGAGGACTGGGAAAGAGCCACGTGGCCTTCAAGTTGGGCTCAGCGGACGCCCGGTGCGTAAATCAAGCGGCTTGCACTCGGCTCTCTGTTGGCTTCGATAGGCCCGTAGCATCCGCTTCCATTTTTTAATCCATGGAATACGTATATTGAAAAGAAAGGGTCAACACATAGTTTTAGTGATCGTTTCTGTGCTCTGATACCATGTCTGCACAAAGGTACCGGCAAAGTACCAGAAACGTCTACAAAATTCCGTCAGCACACATCACCGCGGTCTCCTCTCTACTTTTATTGAACTTTCCCGTAGGGGTGGGATATAATAAGAAAAAGTAGTGCGGGGTTAGTGTATTTATTGACGTTATGATGGCCATGAAAGGCTTGGACGAGGTCTCATTGAGTGGCCATGTCTGTGCACCTGTCTCGCTCCACCTAGAAACAACCGAAACATTAAACAAGAGAAAACTAAAACGCGTTCAAGTGTCTTCCTTTAAAACCTCCTTGGATACTTATTTCGTCAGGGCCGAGTGTGTTAGCGAAGGGTGGCATTCAAAACGCCGAAAATCAAAATGCCGAAATTTAAAACACCGAAAATTCAAAAGGCGAAAGGCAAAACGTCGAAACATCAAAATGCCGAAGCATCAAGATGATGGCTGAGCGTCAGTTTAATCTACTGATACTGGTGCCTTTGCAGAACGAGTTAAATAGGCTCGTGTAAGTGGAAAGTGATCTGGCGGAAAACGAACAAGTGGTAGTCATAAACCGCGTCATTTCTTTTTCACGTGGTTTTCGGCGTTATATCTTTTCGGCATTTTGATTTTTCGGCATTTCATTTTTTTGGCGTACTGACGTTCGGCCTTTTCATAATTCGGCCTCTTGATTTTCGGCGTTTTGATAGGGACCTCGCCCGCAACTCTTAGACTTCTAGAAGGATCCTTGCCAGGGTCTTTCTAGTACCTACCAGCTTTGACTCCATTCATCATTAGTGTAGACATCAGTTGTATTAACTACACAATGAAACACCTGACAGATCCATACGTGCGTACTTCTAGCCTTCACTGTTACCGGTTAGAAAAAAAAAAAAAAGAAAGAAAAAGGAATCTAACCTTACGACCGTTTCTTGAGCCAGAGTCGGAAGGCGAAGAATGGCAGGCAGGCCCTCTTCCACGCGTCCATGTGTCCCCTGGCGTGCTGGGCATACCCACCGAAGTCACAGAAGTACCGCCGGCACCGGTCGCAAAAGTACCAGGGCTCGCCCTGGTGGTCGTGCCGATGCAGCATGAGTCCCGCCACGGAGGCAAACGCCTCGCTGCAGCGATGGCAAGCGAACGGACGGGTGCCACTGTGCAATCGGTCATGCACCATGAAATCGTACAACTCGCCAAACGAAGCCCGACACAGTGTGCAAACCATGGTCACGGGTCGTCCGTCGCTTGACATCGGCGACCATCTCGTGAGAGTGTTCGTTGCCCGCACAGTCGAAGATCTGGACTGATCTTTGTTGTCGGCGCGAAGTTGGTCATCGTCGTCATCGTGGCACGCCTCTCGAAGTCTCTCGCAAGTATGGCAGGACCTCTCTGTCCATAGGCCGCCCCGGAAACCGGCCCAGGAAATGTTCATTGTTTTGCTTAGTTTTGATGCTACTCAGATCCGACCTTTTGCTTTTCGTGAGCGCCCTTCTACAAAGCATGTGCCTCGAAAGCGGCCTGATTCCATTTGCCCTTTGGTTGCATTCTGCGAGTTGTTCCGTTTGTGATAACTGATAAGGGAGGGTCCGTGGAAGTGTCAACTTCAGATCATGGAGCAATTCCCCCTTCAACCAATGAAGATGCGTGTCACACAATATGATACCAAGCCTGCGTAAATAAAGTGACAGACAAATAAAACGTGCGCGTGCGAAAAAAAAAAGCATTAAAAATGTGCGGTGACCATTCCTGAAAAAAGAGAAAAAAAAAGCACACAAAGAAAAAATAAAATAAAATAAACACGGGGATTTGTTGATAACCTAAAGCAGTTCATGCGGCTATTTTAATTTTTTTTTTAAATTTTTTATTGGTAAATGGGGCGAGACATTCAATCTGCACACCACAACACTGCTGAAAATGACTGAGCTTTTTGTAATATCGCTTATCACCCGGGAGAAAAATGCTGAGTCACTGAGCTGTGGACAGATGCGCAGCATTCGATATACCCCACAACAGATCAATAGCGCATGCTGAGAAGGCGTTCCACAGCGCAGCAGACAAAGATGGCAGCTCACAGAAGGCGATTTTTGGTGGTGGGGGGGGGGGGGGGGGGGGGGGGGGGGGAGGAGGAGGAGAGGAGAGGAGAGGAGGAGAAAGGGGAAGGTACGTCTTTTTTTTTTTTTGCCATTAGACTGTTTACAGACTACAGCGCAGCAGCTCATCACTGATCAACTCATTATCAACAACTGCACGTAACCTCAAGCTTCAGCGCTTGCGCGCGACCGGCCGCGCTTCAAATATTTTCAATCTCGCCGTCTTGTACTTTTTCCTTCGAAACCATCCTTGATCCACAGCGTTGCTTTATTTGTGCTGTTATGTGATACATTAGAGTAGATGACTAGGGCAAACTAGGTTCCGTGGGTACGGCCGTAGACGATGGGAATCCTCCTCGTGCATCATAGCCGTTTCGCCGTCGAACCTGACCGAAATTAACGACGAATCGTAAAGCGTTCGTGAAAAAGTCCACGAATGTTACTCGAAACCACTTCGTGTTTCTCAAATTGGCTCAGTACCACAGTTTTACTGTTTGAGCGCTATATCGGGCCCATTTGTATCACGAAATAAGGCGAAAAATACATAACACACCAACACAGCCGCGAGCGCGCTGAAACCGAAACCAACCAAATTAAAGCCATAGGGTGCTTGTTTGGTAGTTTCGTCACCTAAACTTTTTTTTGATCAGGGTGGTCACATCCAGAAAAGTGTTGCACGTGTAATTAATAAACATATAGGTATATGATATATTTTCAATAATATGTAAATACATGCTAAAATTATAATTAAAACAAACGGCAAAAGCAGCGCAAATACTAGGCGCAAACGATCTCTATGGCGCAATAGGAACGCCACCCGTGGCGCCACCTAGCGACCTAGCTAGCCAGCTAGCCGTTTATTACACTCCATTAGTGCATGTTGTAAAGTTGCGCGGTGGATGCGTGGATGTTTGATTCTGTTGGTTCGTGAACTTCGTGATTCATTCGGTTGGGTTCGGTTAGCTGTTGGACTTGCAAGTTGATGAAGTGCATCTGAAGTATCAGCATGGATCACGGTCATGGCGGTAGTTGCTCGCACCACACAACCGTGCCGTCTGTTCATCAAACACTGGACGAATTGGATTTTTACAAGGGCCTCTTAGGAGCAGGTGGGTCAAGTGGTCAGCGCGGCAGATCTGTGGCCGCCTTCGCGAGAATGCCTTTGATTGGCGACTATAAAACCAACGCGTGATGCACTGGCATTCGTTCATACACCATAATGTGTGACGCTTGATATCTTGAGGTAGATTCGCTTTCTGGTGTGGTGATGAATTACGATCCCTTACGATGTAAAATGAGCGTTGTCAAAGACACGATCGCCATTACTGTGGTCGTCGGTATATTAATATTTTTTTTTTTTTTTTAAATTTCCGCACTGCATGTTATGGTGGTGCGCACAGTACACATACAGTTTATTTTTAATCTGCAGCTGCTGATGGCGACTACAAGAAAACAGAAAGCCTTCTACAGAAAGGAAATGACCCAAACAAGCAGGATTCCTACGGCTACACTCCACTTGTGAGCTTGCTCTTTTTCAGTCACAATATTTCTCATTAAGCACTCGTTGCAGACATACAAGCACGTCAAATTTATGTTTTCATGACCGTCTCTCACATATTTTGTTTGAGCTCATTGACAGCTGTGCTGATTGCTGTGGAATTAATGCAAGGATGCAGGCGAGCTGGTTGAAGAACTCGCATTTTTTAACCCTGGAGAGGGTTAAAAAAAAAAAAAAAACAAGCAAGAAAGTGTAGGAATGCGAAAGCATTCATACACACAGCGCATCCCTACAAGCAGTGCGCAACGTCTTCCTTTTTCACACGGCGCTCTCGGCGGTGACATCACGCTCCCCCACTGCGCAGGCGCAGCGAACCCCGCCGGCTTCCGTGACGGAGCATCTGCGTTGCTGTGCTTTTCTTTGTTTCATTTCTAAGGTGCGTGCTTGATGACGTATTGGTGTGACCATCTTTCGGGCACAATGCCGCCGTTTTTTCGAGTAATAAAACAAATAAAGCTTTCGCCTTAAAATTACAGGTGGACGCTTAAGACTGCTTACATGTAGGAAGGCAAAAGCATTATAGTCCCGTGGGAGAAATGTTTTGAGTAATGTTTCTACACATATTAAAGTTTAGAACGATGTATAGGACGACATCCTAGAGATAGACGCCAAGTACAGTGTCTAGGACGACTTTAAAGACGACGTTGAGAACGACGCCTAGAGGACGACATCTAGAACAACCTCCGGGCGACCTCAAGGATGCTGCCTAGACGACGCCAAGGACGGCGTCGTCCTTGATTATACGATTGAGCCGCTGCTTTTTCGCGCAATTGGACAAGTAAGGCTTTTGCCTTAAAAGGACAGGACAACACGAATCTCGAACTGGGAAATTGAAGTTGTGTTATCCTGTCCTTCTGTTTCCCCACTCTCCAGGGTTAAAAAATACTGTGGAAGCTGCGATTGCTTCATATGAATCAGCAGCAGTCTGGGGAACCAGAAGCACAAGTGTGTAAGGTGGAGGCTTTATCATAGGTATGAATGATCAGTAAGCAGTTGGAACGGGGTGGAGCAGACCGCTTCTTGGAGCCAAGAACCACCTCTAGTTCTTGCATTTTGAAAGGAGTATTCTATGGCTCAGAGCTATAACTGGACGTGGGAATACGGCGATACTCTACACTTGCCTTAAAACATTGAAATTCTGCCTGATAATATTGGGAGCTGGAAACATTCTCGAAGTGCTCTCCAAGCACATTAGCAACATCTTTCAGTGAATTAGCAGGGGAGCTAACAGGAATAACAAAACAACGGTAATCTCCTTTGATATTTTTGTACCTATCCCGAATTTCCTTTGCCAAGACAAAACCATTTAGGGAGGAAATCTAATCAATGAAAAAACGGTTAAAGTGCAGGCGAGTTGGTGTAAGTTATACATGATGATTGAAAACCTGAGACTGCGGTTTGAAAACGGAAACTCGTGAAGTAGAAAGAAAAGGGGACAGACAATGTCTCAAACTCGGCTAAAAACTTTATTTCCTCTACGCCTTATATACACCTCTCTCGGACGTGTACTTGGAGGAAATGTACTTGGTCCAGGACTCCCGCGTTGCTTTTCTTCTAGTCCATCGGGCCTTTGCTTTTAGTCTTTTAAATTCTATCCTATTTGAATAAGTAAAGTATCTCCGAAAGTACCCCATTCCCTATGCTGCTTTTTCCTTGTGGTAGCACAATCTTCATACCTCCGAGGCCTACACCTCTTGGGTAAATTTTCAGAGCTGCAAGAATGGCGTCTTGGGCGGCACTTATGATTTGCTCGATAACATATGCTTCTTCGGGTGACAAATTTGCTAGAACTGACGGGTGAAACACAGCATCAAGTTTAAAAAGTGCCCAGTCGGCTTTGTCCAATTTCCACCTAGGGGTTAGTTCTAAAACAGTCGGCAGAGGAACGAGGCTTTCAATTACAACCGGGAAATGATCGCTCCCGAAAGGGTTGTTTAAAACCTCCTGAGAAAAACAAGGAAGTAATGATGGTGATGAAATGGAGAGGTCGATGGATGTCAAGCAAATACGAGCGGAACTATAAAATATTGGTTCTTTATTTAAAAGACATACATCCGAGGACAGTAAAAAAACTTTCCTCAACAGTGCCATGGGAGTCAAGGTGCTTACTGCCCCACATGGGACTGTGACCATTAAAATTGCCACAAACTAAAAAAGGGCTCTGGAAGTTGCTGAACCAATCCTTAAGTATATGAAGATGCAGTTGACAATGAGGTGGTAAATGCAAGGACACAACCGTAATGAGACCATCAGCAAGAACACATACCACAACTGCTTCTAGTGATGTACACAGAGGTACTTTCACACACGCTATGCCACTCTGTACAACAATGGCAACACCATCAGAAGAATGGTCTGAATCACAATCCTTTTTAAAAACGCGGTGATGATTTAAAACATTTGTCTGGGTATTGTTAAGATATGTCTCCTGCGAGCACACAGCAGTGGGCTGCAGCTCGTCCAAGAAGAAATGGATGTCATCAATATTTTACAGGAGACTTCTACAGTTCCACTGCATGAAACTACTTGTTCATGTTAAAAATGAAAGACATTTACAAAGCTCTGTAATCTGAAATTAGAGTGCAGCTCTTGAGGAGAAGGGGAGGGTGTGCCCCTCCTCCCGTCGTCCTCCTCTATACCCTCTCTTCCTCCCACAGTTTCCCCGCTAAATTTAGCTGGAAAATTGAGGCCACGTGACCTCAACCCCAATTCAGTTTCGCCACTAAATCTAGTGGGGAAAATGACGTCACATGACCTCGTGTCACGTCACCCGTGAACAAATTCAGTTTCTCTGCTAGATTTAGCGGGGAAATTGACGTCATGTGACCTCAACACCAATTCAATTTCCCGCTAAATTTAGTGGGGGGCCGATGGCGACGCCGCTATACGTGGAAACGAGCGCCTAAAAGCTGTGCTCTAAAATGGTTCAAAGTAACAACGAAACAAAAGTCCTGCTCTAGATGCCCTGGGGCAGTTTGGGAGAAATTACTCGCGGATTCAGCTTTTTCTGAGACAACTTTTTAAGCCTCGCATCATCAGGTGGGACCGAAAGGGGGGGGAGAGAAGTGGAGGGGGGGAGAGAGGGATGGAGGGAGGGAGGGAGTAGGTTCACCAAATTCAATCCGCTCCTCTTCAGGCTGAATGGCTGAGGGAGCAGCTGGTACGTGCACCTCCTTAGATGTTAAGGTTTCTCGTAAGGGCTTAAAGCGAGACACACGCTCTTTCCTCCTGGGAGGGGTCCAAGTAACGAAGGCAGGCACATTGTTCGATGGCCCGTCTTTTGGAATAGAGAGCTCCCTGAGGCTGGTGTTGCTGCCTCTCTTCTCTCCCCTCCGTTAGCACAGAGGCACCCTTGGCCTCTGCATTGTGTGGAGGACCCTGTGGTTCCTTTGATTCCAACGACAAACGGAGTTGTGGAGCGAATCCTTGTGAGGCAGGGGGAGGTGGTGGAATTACCAGGGCTTTAGGACAGACCTGGGTTCTTACTGAAGACTTCGATGGCATGCCCCCTGCACGTGCCTCCAAAGAGTAAGACCCTTTCTGCAGGAAAGAGAGTCGCTTCCTGGCTTCGGGTAACGAGATTTTCTTCTTCACTTCGAGTGTTACAATTTTTTTCTTTCTATTTCCCGCAAGACTGGGACTAAGCTGGGTGAGGTTCATTGCAGTTGATGCAGCAAGGTGCTTTTGAGCAATTCTCTGCTGGGTGATCATTTTTGCCACACTTAATGCATGTGGTCTTTTCACGGCAGCTCTGGGCACTATGGCCATACCTCTGGCAATGAAGGCACCGTTGAGGGTTTGGCTCATATGGCCATACTCTACAGTTTAGATACCCTGCTTTGACTGATTCTGGAACCGTCCTCACCTCAAAAGTCAGAATGACATGCTTTGTCTTCATCTCTTGACCGTCACGAAAAGAAATTCGTTTTGCAGCTTCTTGGTCACAAAGGTTATCTACGATTTCATCTTCGGGAGATTCAAAAAGGTCATCTTCAGATATTATGCCTTTAACAGTGTTCAGAGTGCTTTGAGGAAATACTGTAACCCTGTACTCGGAAACCGAGTGGAGTGTTAACAGGTGTGAGCTTTGCAGAGAGGTTGCGACTTCAATGAGATCTCCAGATCGCATTTTTTTCGCTTTAAAATTCTTCCCGATTACAGTTTCAAGTCTTATAAACCAGGAAAACGGACAGCTTTGATAACAGTTTTTCAGTTTGAGAGTGCATCACGAGAAATCAAGGAAACTTCTCCACAGGTACAAACAGTTCTGTAATGTGTACTTCGGTCTGGACCCTTTTTAGGGCTCAGTCAGGTTTTGTACTTAGTTTGGGACCCATAAGAAATGGGAAGGACTTCGGCATCTGTTGCACACCACCCACCACAGAGTCCAACAAGGGGATAGGTAACATCTCATAACAGATCTGGCTTGTCTGAGTATGTTACTCTACCAGTGCTACCAGGATCAGAGGTCGGCATTTTAGGTCGCCCTCACTCACCCTCACCCTCACAGCCACACTCACCTAAGCCCCTCACTCACCCTCACAGCTACTCACCTTCAGCCCCTCACTCACCTTCACCCTCACAGTCACACTCACCTTCAGCCCTTCACTCACCCTCACTGAACCTCACGCCCCTCACTCACTCATGGCCTTCACGCCACTCACCGCCCTCACGCCACTCACCGCCCTCACGGCCCTCACACACTCATAGCCCTCACGGCCCTCAGGGCCCTCAGGGCCTTCACAGCCCTCACTCACCCTCACACTCATGAATTCTCCTGGTTCAGAAACTCACTCACCCTCACCTCACCTGTGAAGATGAGGGTGAGTGAGGGCCCTCATGAGTGAGGTTTGCCGAGGTATGACCAGGATGCTATAACCAGGTGTGGATCAAGAGAGATTCCTGTCGCCACCCAAGTTTAGCCCTTGCCTCCAAAGAGGGTGAAATAGGAAAGAAGGGGAGAAGCAGAGGGAAGGTAAAGATGGGAGAGGAGAAGAAAGGTGACCGACTGAATTATCCTGGTCAAGCCAAGCCGGGAAACCCGTCTAAGAGAAGCGGCGGCCGAAGTGAAGGGTCCGAACCTACCCGGGCTCGGTTCAACCACCAGGATGCCCTTTTCCCTGGACACGGAAAAGTCACGCATAGCCAGACGTGGGCGGGCGAACCTGCTTGGCTCGGGGTCCATGGTGACGCCACTCATCAAACACCTACTAAAGCAGGTGCCCCCTGCGGGGAATTGTAAATGGTAAAACCACTACTCCCAGAAGTGATGGTGTGGAAAGCTTCAGCACGAAACGAAGGCGGCGAACACCGCACTACAGGACCCCGGGGGACTATAAAACAAAAAGATGGTGTCTTGGACTGACAAAAAGAAGAGGAAGATGTTGAGCACACACAATACCACAAGATATAAAGTCAGTGAGAATAAACATACATGCACTATTGCACGACACAAAGGAACTAGACATACAAAAACACCCGTGTGTCATCGTCCAAAGTAAGCGACGGCATACTTATACAATTGCCTTTAAACCTGTGGGTGACTGCTTAAGACTTTCACTATGTAGAACTGCAGATGATGTGGGGATATTTTAGAAAACAAAAAGAAGCTTGTCCTTAGTCAAATAATTTCTGTGCTAGTTATGAGGCGGTGTTCTTGTCCCTTCTGTTCCTGATCTCAAGGTTTCTTATTATGAATAAAAATCAATATTTAAATCCTACCAGTTTTTTTCTTTACAAACCTTACAAAAATAATCCCCAAAATATTTTTTATTTACTGTTCGTCTATTATTTTATGCTTTTCTATGCGCATTTGCTTTGCATAGGTATATATCAAAGAATCATCAAGCAAGAAATATTTATATACGAGGCTAAACACTGTAGGAATTCGCGTACTGCCAAAGATACGCCAGTTCCCACGTGGTCCGTCAACAACCAGAGTCCAGCCTGGTTCTTTCATGGGAGCGGGATTCCGCTTCCCGTTTATTGGTACAATAAAACACAACGCTACAAAGCACTTAAACTACAAATACCCGCGACATTACACAAATATTTACCAACGCCCGTAAAGTCCGAGTTAAATACAAAGAGGGTCCCCAGGCCTCGTGTCCCGCGATTACCCTAGATCCGGTCGCACACACTTGCCTGTTTTCGGTGCCTTCCTGGAGTACTAAGAGCCTTTTGCCTCCCGGTCCCCCGACTATATCGATCGATGGGCAAGGAGGTTTTTCCTCGCCCGGACTGGGGCGCCTGCAGCGCCATCCAGTGGCTAGGAGAAAGCGGCACGTCGGGAGCCGAATTCAAAATCCCAATCGACCCCGCCGCGACACGACCATGTGATCATGTCTGAGGCGAAGGAACTGCATAGCCGCCTCGCGGCCAAGATGGCAGAGTGGTTTGATGGGCGCCCTTGTGAATGCACGGGGCGCCAGAACACAAGCAGTAAGAAGGAATCTTCTGAGGAAATCGGAGCATTGGGCTTTACTTGAAATAAAAATCAAATAAAGTTTTGAACTAACTGAAAAATCGAGCTGTTTTTGTGTGGTGGAGATTACAGCAATAAAATGTTTACTAAACCATACTTTGCACATACAGTAATTCTTCTGCATTGTGATCAGTGATTGGACAAATTGATCAATCTTTGTTGAAAAATACATCTAGTAGTGGTAAAGAATCACAATTTTTAGCTGATTTAAATCAAACTAATTACATCTAAAAAAAAATTTTTTTTTTCCTATTTTAACTATTTTTAAGACTAGTGTCTACCAATAGAGGCAAAAGAAAACTTGTGTAACTTGTTGAACCTATGCTGCCCTACAGCTCAGCAGCAGGTCAGTAGTGCATGCACTATAGTGAGGTGTTTTGGACAGCTGCTGGGCTGTGTGCGGATCAGAAACATGAGTGTTTTAGCTGTAGGAGAAGGCTGCGGTTGCAGTTCTAAAGCATTTTTAAGTCGTAGAAGGTCAAGGGCACTGTTGTAGTTTTCTGCAGAACTTTGCCTGTCTGAACGAGTCTTTTGTGGTGGCAGCACTACTCATGCAGGCAAGGTCAAGCCAGGGTGACTGAACTGCTGCTGAGACATGGTGCCCAAACAGACTTGCAAACCAAGGGAGGTGCCACAGCTTTGCACCGTGCTTCCCACCAAGGACACTTGGAGTGTGTCAAGCTCCTTTTAGATAAAGGTGCAGACTGCACTATCGTTGACAGCGATGGCAAGACCGCACTCCACAAGGCAGGTTGCATCTGTTGCTTGCTAGTCTGCCACCATCTTGGTAGATAATTGTTTAGCATGCTGGCCAGCAAATGTCGACAGCATAAGCTTGATGCCAGCCAAGGGAATCGGTTTCAGCAATTTGAAATTATGACAACTGTTGGCTCTCCCATATTGTGCGACTTTATTTATTCATTGCTACTGTACAAGCCCAAAAGCCTTGTATGAAAGGTGTGGAGAGCAAAAGTTGTTGCACAGTTCTAAGTAAGGGCTCCATGTTCAGATTTCTGTTGGAAACTTGTCTGCATTTCTTTTGTGCATACAGCCTTATGTCGTTATTGGCGTGCAAATGTATGCACTGGTTTCTTTTTACATCTAAAGGGCTTTTGCAGGAATGTTTTCAGAATATCTGTGTATGCGGCATAAACGTAGGTGGTAGAATTCAGTCCTCAATATTTTACGACACGCTCAAGCACAGGGAGTGACAGTCGCTTTTCGTTCTTGGTTTCCAACTAGGCGGCAGAGAACGGTCACGAAGAAGTGTGCAGGGTCCTCGTCATGAAATCGGCTGGTTTATTGACCATGCAAGACGGGCACGGAAGGACAGCTCTGGACTGTGCATCGTCGAAGCACCCACAGCTTTCTGAAGTGCTCAGGTAGCGTCGACGGTCATTAGAGTTTCGAATATGTACACCAATGCACAGCTGTAAATATGTAAATATACATATAATTTGTCATTGTATTCTGGTCTCTTACTGTCAGGAACTGTAATCTATACTGCATAGAAAACTAAGAAAAGTCTTAGGCTTGCAGGCAAGCTCATAATATGGTCAGAAATAAGACAGCCACACCGTTGGCATTTAATGCAACGTCCCAAATAATTTACTATTTTAGCTTGCCAGAAAGAAAGGAGTAAAATGCCTCCCAATATGCACTTTTGGGTGACACTTCCCTATTCTTTGTAGCAAGTTGAATTGCTAGGATAGTATAACAGTACTAGCAAGCAGAATCAACTTGATCAGTGCACTAGCCTCGTAAAGATCTAGAGACTTGTATGTTACCTGATGTCCTGTCTGGGTCCCATGATTGACGGGCGGCTTGCCTGTTAGTTTCAAGACCGAAGAACCGCATAAATTTGTTACTCTCTTTATTGTGTCCACAACATAAATTTTAACCATTTACAGTAGATGTCGTTGGTGATTACTGGTATAGCTACCCCTCCATCCTTTAGTCTTGGAATGTGTAGTAGTTGCCACAATATTCTGTACACACACAAAGAAATACTCTGGCTGCCGGTCAAATTAAGCCACTTGTTGGGACGATACCTGTGGAATGTCTCGTGTTATTTATATTGTACAGCAGTGTAAGGCACTTGAATTACAAGCAGGCTAGTACATAAAAAAACATAAAAGAAGAAAGAAAGACGTTTGGCCATTGACATTGTCATTCGTGGAATTTCATTATCTGGAAGTGCGAAGAATTTCCCATCCTTGACAACTTCCAACTTGAGTCAGATAAATAAAGGTTCTAAAAAAAACAACAAAAACAAATCATACCACATAAGCCTGCCACTTTGCATTCTTAAAATGAGGTGGCCACAGCCGTGGAGGGTCGCTCATAGTAGAGAGAAAAAATAACTTTACATTCACGTGTCACACAGATCATTGTTAGAATGTAGAATGCGATAAAGAAAAAAAAAAAACGGCAACCTTATGTGTTCCTATATATATTTATATATATATATATATATAGTATGTATATACGAGCGGTATGTATAATACGCAAAAATAAAAGTAAAACAATTGCCCAACTGAGGGGGGAAAAAAAACAAAAGAGACGGCTTAAGTGCGTCGTCTCCGTTAAATGCTGCGTCAGAGCGAAAGGCCGAGAGATGCGGTAAGTCTGTGTGAAGGGACCCTAACCCTCTGTTAAAGAGTGGCGCACAACCTTGCAGTTCCGTCGTGCCAAAGTGTCGCACGAAGAGAGTCTTTCCCGTTCCCTTCCTCGTCCTTCCCATCCCATCCCATCCGCAGTCTCTGGGCGAGCTTCCATCAGCCGTGTCCCGCTACTTCACCCGCAGCGTCCTCTGTTTGTTCATGTTCGTCAGAAGCAGGCTGATGTACGAGGTCAACAAGTCGTCCATCTTGTAACCCTGTGCGTCGAAGAAGGGGAGAGGAAAACGGGCATCAACAAGAGATTGCTGGCATTTCTGATTTTTTCTCGCAGACATCCTAGGGGGTCGTGATCAAAGCTGCTCGCATGGTGAAATCTGCTTCTATGGGACACTGAACCAACACTGGTTAAGTTAGGTGTTTGAAAGTTCCCCCATACTTGAGAAAACATGAAAAAGTGCTGGTGGCACGCTCGTGCTAAAAGGCTGGATCAGACATTTGCGTTTATGCGCAACTGACTGCCTTCGACTCCTTGCGCTCCGTTACGATGCATTGCATTGTGCAGACCCACCTACCATAACATCTTGAGAGATAGCCACCTAAAAATCGAGAGCAAATCGGGTGTAAATGAGGAGTGGGCTAACTTTCGGTGCACAACTAAGAGAAGTTGAAAAAAACAATTTTTAGATCGTATTTTCCTGCAACCTGTTAACGCCGCTTGGGGCAATGAAGCAAAGATGACTGTGCTTCCCAGTCAGCAATGTTTGCTCATATCCTGCCAGAGCTATAGTCAGTGACAGGTTAAGAAACATTTTCTGGCTGGGGAGGAGAAAGCAGACAGAATGTTGAAGAGAGGAGGAGGTTTCCTCCTCTTCTCTCAAGCATTCCATCTGCTTCCTCCACCCCTGCCCTCCTTTCCCTCTAAAACTTTTCTTAACCTGTAATTGACTATAACTAGCCGCATTTACGTTGAGGTCACATTGATTCGAACACTACGATTACTAGAAGTGGGCTACCTTTCGATGTTTTAAAGAAAAAAGCAAATCAAGCTAAAAATAGGGCTGGGTTATCTCCCCGGGGGTGGGACATCTCTCGGCGATATCACGGTTGGTTGCCATGGCAACCATCTGGTCGTAAGCAGCCATCTTAGTGCGATCGGTCACCCTCAAACACAGATGACTGAAGCGTGCATTGCTAAGGACCCGCCTTTTGAGGAAATCTAGGTCAAGTTTATCTGTTCTCCAGATGTTTCTTTTTTTTCACTTGTGCTAAATTGAAATTTGGAACTTTTTTTTTTTTAGGTTGGAAGCTTAAATGGTGGTGTGACCACCATTTAACGTGTGGGGTACTTGTTGAACAAAAAAAAATAAAGAAAAAACCAGAATTCTGTTGGGAATCTGGTGCCCAGCGACTCACGAGAGGTGTCTCGCAGAGAAGCTTGTTGCCCCGCACCAAGTTGCCGATGGTCATGTGGAAGTAGGTATTTCCACTGCTCCAGTTGGAGATGCGTGTGAACGGGTGGGTGACTAGGATTTCCTGTCGAAGCACAGGGAGGACCACATCAATGTCTATGCGTCTGAATTTGACTGCCCTAGTGACAGTCGGAATGTCTGGGCTATAGGAACGACCTGCTCACCTTGGAAACTGGATGGATCAAACTCACTCCCTGCTTGTTAATTGCTATCAGTAGCTGCTCAGGATAGCTGGGTTCTGTTGTTTGCTGCAAGGTGTCGTGACGAGATGCGTTAAAAGCACACCAACGTAAAGTCCACAACCTATAGCAGGTCATGGAAAGTTTTCTTGGCCAGAAGCCACATTGCCGTCACACCATTATTGTACAGCTAAATCCACTTATAAACATTCAATTTAGCAACACCTTGCTCCTACATAGCTTTTTATTTATTTATTTTAATTTAATTTACTGCGCTGTTGTGCATGTTGTCCGAGGCGCCGTCCTCAAGTCACTCCTCGTACAACTGCTTTTTGATTTCACGTCCTTTGTGTTGCATTTACCCATTCAAGAAGCATGTAGCGGTTCGTCGTCTTCCGCACCTAACAGCGCTACTGCCGTAATCACGTATCGCCGTGTCATGTACGCCTCTATTTTTCTACCCTCGATAGCGCGCACCAAGCCCTGTTGCCGAGGGTGCGACCGCTAAATGCGTCTGATAACACAGACGTCCCTTTCGGCTCCTCGCCGTTCGTGTGTATGCTCAAGTCAGAGAGGGAGTCCCACTGGTTCCGCCGATCACTGACGTCACGCAGATCCCTCCCCGAAAACCATCCCTCGTGTGAATACCACTCTAATGGTGCATTTCTGGTGCACTTTTGATTGGGGAGCTGGATCGTTGTTATAAATTTCCATTGAAAAAGCTGTGGCTATGGTCCTAATCTCCAAGTTCAGTTCGGTTGCTTACTTCAGTGGTCCTTAGCCATTTACGTCTTGGGCAGGGGTTCTCAAACTGGGTTCCGGGGAACACGGGTTCCGCGAGCTGGTCTCATGGGTTCCGCGAACACCCCAATTGCAACCCCCCTCCCCCCCCCAATGCCACAGGCTGCGCGGCAGGACCATGCAAAGCGCCTTCATCTCACTTTGTACTGACATTGCGATTGATATGGTGGGGATATACGGGAAGCAACACAAGCAAAATTGCCTACAATTGTGCATCTGTTGCTTCTCGGTCGGCAAAAATGGAGAGGGGGGGGGGGGGGGTTTCCGCGGCAGTTTTTGAGGCTTCCTGGGGTTCCGTGAGACCAAAAAGTTTGAGAACCCCTGGTCTTGGGGATTCCTTGTAAACCGGCGGAACCTATGGAAACTTATGCCGGCTATTGCGTGGTTACTATGATTAGACAATAAATTAATACAATTTACTGCTAGTGTGACCTGGACATGCTTTATTGTCATATGGAAGGAAGATCACTCGTAATGTTTCTTCTGTATGACAAAAAAAAAAGTAAATTGCTTGATTGACAAGAGACTGTCAGTAGACCCTTAAGGTGCCTTTGCCAAATGGCCTGCAGACTCCCAATTTGAGGACCACTGGTTCACATCACCCTCATGACAGAACTTCAACAATTATGAATGATTTTGTAAGTAAGGAAATCTCAAATTCCTTAATGGCCAACACAGATTAAGCAGGCTTCTGGTGAAGAAGACAGCATAATAGAAAAGGGATCACAAGCAGATCCAACATGGACTAAACAATTGCAGCCAAGCGGAAGCCCAAGAGAAACTTTACCTTCACTTCGAAAAATGCCGATCCAAACGTTGGCCACTTGTAGATGATCTTCAAGAACATGATCTTGGCGTCCTCCTGAGATGTGCCTGCGTCCTGGTTGTAGGCAGTCACAATGGCCTGCATATCGAACCGGGTTGCATAAAGGTGCAGATGGTGTCCTATGCCAGCCGTGAACCACGGAAAGAAGACAAAGTTTTTTTACATACCCGTTTCCAGTCATTTGCACTCTGGGCCTTGATGGTGTCGGCAGGCACAAGCTCCCGCAACATGGACCTGGATTTTGTCAAGGAGCACAACATTAAAATCGCACGCATTGTGACAACTCTAATGATGGAATGAAAAAAGCAGCTAAACAAGGCACAGCAAAAACTTTAAAACAAAAGTATTACTTAATATATCCAATAAGACTTAAAGGAACCATGAAATGATTTTAGACATAATTTTACTGACTGTATATCGTTTTTCGGATCACAAGAAAACGAGCATGCAAATTTAGGAAGCTTAAATCCCAATTTTTGGCATGAAATTTTGGTAAATAAAAGTAGACTATATCTTACACTCCCTCCCTCAAACACTCGCAATGAAGCTGAGTGTATGAATGGGTGGATTAATAAATGAGTTGTGACAAATCTTTCTGTAATGGGTGGTAGCTTGCGCCAACCAGCAGAGTAACAGCAACGTCCACAGTGTCGGAGTCTTTTTTTTTTTTTTTCCTGTTTTTTTTGAGCAAGTTACTGTTGAATTTAGCTTTCGCACTGGATACGACTAGTGTGACACTCACACTGTGCACGCAGCAATGAAATTGTCGATGAATGCCCTCAACGGTAATGAAAGAGTTCAATATCTGATTGCATGAACCGCGGTGTCGGCGAGAGCACGATCCGTTTCTCCACGAGGAATTCCATTAGGAATTTATATCACTTCGTTTCTAGCATCTTGTGTTCGCAGCAGAAATGTGAACCTACCATTTTGTACTAAGTAATCGCCACATCTCCGCGGCCGGTTCTGGCGCCGACCTGCTACAGCCTTCGTCAGGCCAGTTCTCGTTTTACCGCGTGGGCGTCCCGGCATGCAGAACAAGGCCCATACTTTCACTATGCCGAAACTTTTTAAGCTGCACTTCTGTCAGCTGCGACGTATCCGTAGCCATTGCGTTGATTGCATAAGCGCCGCGGACCAACGAGTTCTACAAAACAATGGGCGTTTATGGACACCTCAGTAGGTGACGTCGTCTCAACATCCTTGCATCGAAACGCCGACGCAAAAGCATTGTTTCGACGCAGCACGACGCTTGACTGACGCCACTCCCTTCCTCGGCTGGGAGAACTTCCATTTCCGGTAGAAAGGCATACTATATGTCACGGCCACGTGATTTCACATGTTGGTGACCGAGACCAGTCGAGGAGGAAAGCAGACGAGAGTTTTCGTATTTTTTGGTGCAAAACTGGAGGGAACAAAACGAAAATGGATTCCTGCTCCGGGTTTCATGAACATTGAAGATTAATTAATTGGAGTCTTTATTTGGAAAAAGCCGGAAAATCATTGAATGGTACCTTTAAAAAGACACTAACGCCCGCCCCGCCCGCCCTGCCCCCTCCCCCCCCCCCCCCTCGCCACACACACACAAAACAAAAAATTTTATTTTTTGCCAGGCGAACTTAATCAATATTAACGCGATAGTTTTTAGAAGCTCCTATCGCAGAAAATCCGGCATTGGCATCGGTGGGACGAAAAAATCCTGATTGATCGACAGGGTCATGACATCACAGCCACATGACCTTGCTCGGGAATTTCAAACAACCCACAATGCTCACGTGAAATGTGACACCACGTGTGGTATGAAAGTGATTAAAACATGACATGCAATGCAAATTAAGAGTCGCCGCATGTCTCAATTGATTTCACTTTATAAATTCATTTGCCTAAAAGATTTAAGAAAAAATTTGAAGAATTTTAGGCAAAGGCAGGATTCAAACCCACAACCTTTTGGTTACAAGCCAGACACGCTACTGACCAGGCCACGCAGACACAATGCATGGCTTGGGAGCGAGCGGGGCTTATATGTTCAGCTATTGCGTTCCACTCTTAAAGGCGAAGCTTAAGTTTCCTCCTGTAATATTTTTGCTACAGCGTCACATATATTTTTAATAAGTAAAAAAGTGCAACTGCTCGAAACTGAAACTGAAACGTGCATGGAGGCTAGGAGGAGAGAGTTGCCAGAAGTCATGTGGCTATCGCTCCCTACTCAGTTTTTTTCCATTCCTCCACTTCTCGGACATGTAAAGCAGGCGACGACTACGGGGAAGTTGCTTGAACCGTTTGTCATGCGATTGTTTTGCACATATATCCCTTCCCCTCACTGTTCTGTGCTTGAAGACCAATTGGCCAGTACCACGAACCATGGTTCTGAAGAAGCGGTTCCACATCTATCGCAACGTTGGTCCGTTGTACGCCGCCATTGTGTCGTCCAGCCCGCGGTACGTCGCCATATTGAGAATGACGTGTACATGTACTTCCTGTGCTCTGTGCAACACTTTTTTTCGATTAACGTATTTGCCGCTTGTTGGAAGCCACAAAAAATGGAGTTCATATTCTTTTCTATTTGTAATATTGAGTGTATGCCTTAGAGGACTCACGACTTTGAATATATTTGGTATGCATCAGTTTGAATGGCACGTGACCGTAGAAAATATACAAGCGCGCCCGAAACCGGCCAATTTTCGACCGGCGGTTTTTGGGCGGAAAGAATACGAATTTCCAGCCGCAAATTGTGTTCTGGGTAGTTGGGCTCTTGTCGGTCATGTTCAACTAAAAGACCTCGGCGAGGATAAATACCCCGTCAGTGTCCCTTTAATAACGCCGTTATTAATGTTTGCTAAAAATGCTGCTTGCACTAGATTATGAGCATACGTAGTGTCACGTTCATTGCTGAAGTTGCAAAAAGCACAAAGCTCATCTCTAATATAAACTCGGAGTTGAGCGAAGTGTGGAAGAACTTACGGAACGGCCTGCAGCTCCACCTTGCTTTCCCCGAAGCGGACCCTATAGATGAGTGAAGCCAGCCTTGCCGCCTCTTCCTTGGTGCACTTGTGGTAGCCGCGCAGCAGCTTGGGAAGCTCCTGAACGACCGCAAGCACGCACAAATGTTTCTCAAGACCAGGTCTCTAGTAACGTGAAGCCGAGCTCAACAGAAGCAAGCAAAAAACCAGCCCATCTGGTGAAAGAAAACGAGCAAAAAATGAAGGTGCTCCTTTGACCTACCGCCCAAATGTCACGAGTGCATAATCTGTTGGCGACATAGACGCAACTCTGGGCCGTTGCGCCTATGCCGTGCCAAGTTGTGTCACGTGACACCGTGTTGCACCACAACTTGACACCCAATGTCGCTAGATCTAATAACATTATTGGCACCGTCACATCACATAGCACCGTGATGCCATGTGACCTGGCGTAACCCTATGCATGTCACATGGCCACATTACCATGTGATTCACGGTGGTGTCCTGCTAGATTAGACAAGCATTAATTAGCCCGCTAAATTTAGTTGCTGACTCCGCTTCCGTGTTGCTTTCATCGGCACAGTATGGGTGCGGCTACGGTGACGGCCACACAAATCTCAACTTTGCTTCCGTTAAGATGCATTCTGCAATGGCAAACCGGCTCACCTGGTGAAAGTGGAAGATGATGTCGGCGTTCTTGTCCTTCCCAGGAACAGTGTTGGTCCATAGTTTCTTCATGAAGAACACTTGGTACGTGAACTGGGGGATAGACCCTGCAATGGCGGAGGCACGACCAAGACGCGTTTCAGTGCCGGTACTCAGCACCCCTGTGTCGATTTGCCTAGTTCCTGAACCAAACTGCCGTATATTGCCGCATGTTAAAAGGTACCGTATTTACCGGCGTGTCAGCCCGCCACCGCACACCCGCAAGCCGAGCTCAAAAAAAGGTGAGATGAGGAAAAAAAAAAAAAAAATCCCCACATATTACCTGCTGGTCTGCAAAGCCTTATCTTCAGAGCAGCGACTACAAAAAGAAAACACCGATGTAGTTCTGCCGCAATCTTGGTCAATCGCTACAGCCGTGGTAGCTGCCGGCAGGTTTGGAACGACGGGGCATCTCTCGTGGCCTTCAGTGTGGGATAGCTACTCTACCTCGTGCTCTGCTGTCGGACCTTTGATCGTGTATGCAACAAACGAAGCACTACTGAAGGCAGCAACCTCAGGCCGGAGAGAAACATCCGAAAAAGATGCCCTGTTGTTCCTAACACGTCACCACCACCACTAGCAGCTGCGCTTCGGGGTTTTGAAGAGATGTCCCTTTATTTTGTTTTTGGGCATTCCTCACACTGGACAACATACTGAAATCAGTTGAGCTGCCGTACATAGACTTTTAACATCAAAATTTCTGCAATAGGAGCATTGCCTCCGCTCGTGCGGAACACCGTTCCTTAGAAAGATTACCGTCATACGACACAGTGGTACGCGAGTTGTACGCAAGTAAATACGGTAAGTTGATGCCTCAACCTTGGAAAACAGTTAAAAGCTTGTGTGTGATTCCACCTTCAGTCTGACTCATTTCTAAGCCAAAGCAGTTAATGAGCCTGCGGCAATATACGGAAGCCTATACCCCGTTTCATCTTACGATGGACGCAGCAGATGCTACGAGCTATCCGAGCCAATCCAATAGCGTGTGTGTTTTGTGACCCTGGGGACGGGTGCAGCAATGCATGGGGCGCAGTTATCTAATATCTTGACTTCACTGGATTGGCTGAGATTGCTGATAACGTCCACTGCGGCCTACCATAGCTTGAAACGGAGTATAACCCGCTAGTCTCTCAGAAACGGGACCACTCACCATCTCTCGTCGGTCTTGCCTTGCGTATCCAGTCAGTAAGGTGTCGAACAAAGTCGAAGAAGAAGTCGCCCTCAGGCACGCTGATCACTATTGGAGCCAGAGGTAAACACAAACATATAAACATTGCTCCGCAGTGTTGTGCATCAGTAGGATATGCAGGATGAAAACGCACCTTTGTCGGCAATCTTGACGAAGAGACTGAACCCTTCGGCAGTCCTCAGGTTCAGCCGCTGGCTGATATTCAGGCAGAAGTCCTTCGCTCTTGTTCCAGAGTCAACTTCAAATGCCTTTGGAAAACGAGAGAAGACAGAGGATGGTAGATTGCCCTCACAACCTGGCACACTAAAAACTACTGTTCCTGTTCAACAAATATATTATCTCGACTATAATCAGCGAGGACGAAATCTGGCACTCAACAAAATGAGTGGAAAATGAATCACTTTTGCTTCCACGATCTGGAGACAAGATATCCAGCTTGGCATCAAACTGGTTTAGTTTGTTTGCAGTTGCCTGAAATCTTAATAATATGAAAACTAATCTCCAGTTCAGCAATTAACGAGCACCAATAGGACAATATCAAAGACACCGTCGAAGACACCGTCCCATGCCTTCCATATTTTCATTTCAATGAAACAATGCCAGACAAAATCAATTTGCTCGCTGAGAAGTCGAGCGATCTGAAAATTCAAAGAAAAACGTTGAGTGGACGAGCCCACTTTCGAGAGATTCTTGTGGCACGTCGGGAGTCCCCGAACACTCACCTCATCCGTGTCATCTGGGAAGTAGACCTTGTGGAAGATCTGTGTCGTCTTGTGCTGAATAGCCTCCACTTCCACCAGGTGTGGCGGGTACTTCCTCTGACCGGTCCTGGGTTGACAGGAGAACAGCATCAACATCCAACCTTCCAGCAAGATGTAATAGTGTCGCAAAAGTGTATTGTTTCCCACACCATTGGCTGAATGCTGAACAAAGCATGGCTGTCACCTGAGCGTCTTCTGCAGCCGCTGAAGGGAGTCCAAAGAGATGGGGTGAGCTCTGGTGCGGAGGAACTGCATCAGCTCCTTCAGCAGCGATTGGCTCGGCGCAAACAGCCCCGTGGCCAGCCACATGAGCTCCCAGCCTCGTTCCTCGCTCAACCTGCGGCATGGGATAAGGATTGTGCTCCGCAGATGCCACTCTCAAGATGTGTTCGCACCGCACTAAACCATGCATTATACCTGTTCTTGTTGTCGGTCAGCTGTTTCATCACTTGGCAGTAGATTTCGTCTCTCAGGATCTCCTGTAATAGCAGGGAGAGGGGATGAAACGTCAGAGCTGACACAGATTCCTGAGTTCACATCAATGACCAAACATGCACAGTATGCACAACAAGTGAATCCATTACTAGTAATTGGTCAAATTTCCAACCAGATCGCTTTCAAACTTATTCTCGCCCAGGGGAAAGGGGGCTTGAAATAGACTACCTAGCAGAAAGCAAGGATATACAAGATGAGTTTTGATTCTACAAACTAAAACCACAACTATGGAAGCAAAAAAATAAATAAAACAAAACAGGTTTGTAGGAAGCAAGTTAAGCGCCGTTCACACATATGCAACCGAGTAAGACCGAGAGAGACCAGACCGGTTTTTAAGCCTCTTGCGACGTCTTGGGACCGGATGCGCTGCAGCGGAGCTGGTCCTAAGACGTTGCAAAAGGCTTAAAAAACGTTCTGGTCTCTCTCGGTCTTACTCGGTTGCATATGTGTGAACAGCGCTTTACATTAGGCTTGGGATAATTAAAACTCTGATATTTCATACTTCTGGTTAATTCAAACAAATTTCAAAAACTTGGTTGTCCCACTATGTTTTTAATGTATTTATAGGTTGCTTTATTCGAAAGGCTTTTTTGTTTAATTTATATGCTTTGTGTTCCCTTGGCCCTGTCTAGTGCGCTTTTTATCGAGCACCGGTGCACAGCGGAGAAGCAACACCCGCGGAGCTCGCTTTCGTGGTTGTTGCTTCTCCGAAGTGCACCGGTGGTCGGTGAGAAGTGCGCTCAATGGGGCTAATAGCCCACAATAGACAACTTTTCTGCTGGATGAATAAACTTAATTTTGTTTAAATGTGTTATGTGCTTTCTAAACAGTCTACGATGGACATATTTTTGAGGGATGACCAAAGTTATTCCATACATTTTACCAATGCTTCATGTGTAGCCTACCTGCTTATGTTAGTAGGCCTGTGTAGAGGAAATCATTTAATAACTGCTTTGTATATGTAGCCATCCATATAACAAATCATGATTTTATCTTGCATCATATTTAGATAAACTTCCAATAATTCAAACAAAAATTTGTGGCCTTCTGAAGTTTGAACTGATGAGAGTCTACTGTATGTTAATAATTCTGTGCCTGAAACATTTATCAAGTTGCATTTTGTGTTATCAAAATTTCTTGATGTGCATTACAGATATATTGTGGCTATGATTGCATTTACATGAATCCTTGTACAGTATAATCTTAGCAAATTGCACATGACCAGTCCTTTTCCTTTTTACAGAATCCTGACAGTCCCCACTTGGTTCAATTAGTTACGGTCATACTCGCATAACTGCAGCAATCGTTACTGTGAATTCTCGACCGCCGGTACATAATTTACGTGTTCCCGATGCCACTGATACCATACAAGGCCAAAACTCAGTATATGTGACTCACTTAGACCATCAAATGGAGCAGTATTTTCAGGTGCTATACTTAAACAAAGAGACAGAAGCACTGAAACATCTGCTCACATGTTTGAGTGGTCCTTCGAAGAGCTGATCGGTCAGCTCATTGCTGGATCTTGTCCTCCTGGATGGGAGGTCTCCCATGTACTTGAGGATAGGTGCCATGCTGTCAAGGGCATACACTCAGAGCCAGCAGTGAAAGAACTATGGCACTCACAGGGCTCTTGCGAGAGTTTTATGCAGCAATTCTATGGTGAAATTTCTGTACGATCCGTTAGAAGAAAGTCGCTAACCAAATCTTGCCTAATCATGGCAACAGGTATATGTCACAAGTTGTTTCTTTGACTCTATGCCACCCATACTTGCTTTCAGCGACAGACGTCAGCATAATCTAATGTTCACTCAGGTCTTGCACATATGCTAGGTAGGTACCTTGCACGCTGCTGCAGTTGAAATAATTTCTAGATTCATTGTTTTTATTCCGCATTAGTCCGACATCCAAGATACTACTTATGTACTTATGTGGCAGGCAATTAGCTCTTAACATGACACTGCACCCTACCCCTTCGGTTGCTGTGCGTACCGGGTGCATGTAATGTCCCTATTTATTGTGACAGCCATAAAACTACATTCCGTTCCGTCTTTGATGGACCACAGAGGACCTTACGGGTTATTGAAGCTAATTAAATGCAACGTGAGCATCACATGATCTTCGAGAGGGGCCAGCAACACGCGGGGTGCATAATCGCGCAATATTCACAGCGTTGAATTGGCCGAGATGGCTCGTAGCATCTCCTGCAGTCCATCGTAAGGTGAAACGGGAGTATAGTCAATATGGACAAAGACTAAACAAGCCATTAAGCCACACACACGAGGCAACAAATTTGGTTTGCACGCGGACATTCTCGGAGCTTTCCTAAAGGCTGCAACGAGTCTAAAGGATATCGTTGAAGGCAAAGCAGGCCTCCTGGCTGAGTTCTTCCTTGTTGAGCAGCTTCTTGAGCAACGGCTGCTTCAGGGGTTCCCTGGAGTGGCGCCAGAGCTGCTCTCCGTCCCGCCGGCGAGCAGACGACAGCGTCAACGTTCGCTGCAGGCTCTTCTTGGGCAGGGGCCTGAAAGAAGCACAACCTGGAACTAAGAACAATCAAACGGGCGATACGCTTCATGAGCTTGATGACAGTTGGCACACCTGTCGCAGAACACTCTGCTCACATACACTCCTCAAACAGTGCACAACGGTGCACAGCATCAAAGAGGTTTGACTAGAGAGAGGGGCAAAACTTCTGAATGGCACAGTGTAGCCAATGCAAGATGTCAACAACGACCACTGCGTACCGGCATGCTGAAAACGTCAGTAACGACGTTTTCAGCATGCAGCAGCTAACAGAAAACGAGCCCTTAGACTCGCATTTTGGCTGTGTCTGTGGACGAGCATGTGCAGTTGCTCGGGTGCCCCACCTGAAAAAGTCCATCGAGTACTCCTCGAGGGTGTGGGGGTGCTCCCTCGACTCCACCCCGTTGGTTGGCGTCTGCTGAAAGAGCTTCTTGCCGTTCTCGGCACTATCTTGAGAGAACAGGGCCAGGATGTTTGTGGCAGGCTTCGACAGGGCCGGCAGCACATACACATACTCCGAGGCAAAGTCGCCCTTCTCTCCCGTGCGCTCGTTGCGCCCTGGAAAATGGTGCAACAAAGGCAAATAGTAAAGTTTGAGGAACTTCAAAGACACCGAGAAGAAACTAAAAACGTGGAAACACAGAAAAGGGTAAAACACCCAAGGATATTGAGATGTTTTGGGTGCCTTGTGTGCCTTTTCTTTTTCATTTCAATGTTGAACTAGCACTCAGTTGAGGCTCTCTCTGCAAGCTCGAGCAAGAACCTACCACTGTCTCTAAAACATAAAAGCAGAAAGAAAGTACAAACTTTCTTTACGAGCAAGAGCCTACCACTGTCCCTAAAACATAAAAAAAGAAAGAAAGTACAATAATTTGGTGTAGGTGAGAATGTTTACAATGTTATGCTATGTATGGGCATTATTTTGAACAGTATGTTGTTGTTCTCAACATACCAGTGCACCAGTTGTTGTTGAGCACCACTTCGCCGCACATGTTGTCCTCTAGCAGAATCAGGTCTCCCTGGTCGAAGCTCAAGTAGTTCGCTACATCACCTAGACAAAAACACAAAAAAAGCAGGTCTTAATAAGATAGGAAGAGTCAACTGGATGATTCGCAAGAGCTTGTCACAGGCATTACTGCCCATGTGGCATTAAGACAGTCCAGCACACTGACTGCTTAAATGTTGTCCTTATGAAACTGATATTGGTAGTATAAATACACACATTTCGGATCCAACTAATACTCTGTGTGGTAGCATAACACTAAAAAAAAAAATCACAACATTTCCACCTGCTGAATGATGTTGATTGGGGCGAAGCTCTGGTCGTGCTGATGATACTGATTTTATTGTTCATAGGTAGTGCTGATGGTGCCGATTTTTTTTTTTTATTGCTCATAGGTAGTGCTGAGTTCCAGGTTGCATTTGGTAACCCCAGCTCTTGAGTTACTACCACATCTCAGAGCCCCCTACTCATCCCGCAGTCGTGGCCGAGTGGTTAAGGTGATGGACTAGAAATCCATTGGGGTCTCCCCGCACAGGTTCGAATCCTGTCGACTGCGCAAACATTTTTTCTTTTTAGGGGCGAAGCTCCTTAGAGTCTAGCTTTGTCCGTCCAGCGTCCGTGCTCACATCGATCTTGCTGGTGCTCGTGCTCGTACTCGTGAGCTCACGTGCTCGTGTAGAAAAAAAAAAAAAAAATTATGAAAAAAAAAAAAAAATGTTTGCGCAGTTGACAGGTTTTGAAATTGTGCGGGGAGACCCCGATGTATTTCTAGTCCATCGCCTTAACCGTTCGACCACGACTGCGGGACAAGTAGGGGGCTCTGAGATGTGGTAGTACCTCAAGGGCTGGGGATGTCCTGGATGAAACGTCGCACGTAGCCGCTCAACGCCTATACAGGAAAGGGCGCTGCGGTCAAATGCGTATATAATCGCGTAAAACTTTGCATGCATTGGCTCAACGTTTATAGACAAGAGGGCGCTGCGGTCAAATACTCAAATGCGTATATAACCACGTTCCATACCACACATTCTCTTTCTGACATAGATAAAAACGAACGAAAGGCTCGGCATGCTGCGGCTCAGCGTCTACGCAGACAAGCACCACCAGAGCTTTGCCCCAATCAACATCATTCACCACGTGGAGATGCGGTAAATTTTTTTTTAAGAAGACAGGTGGGATGGCAATCGATGTGAGCACGGACGCCGGACGGACAAGGCTAGACCCTAACGAGCTTTGCCCCTAAAGCCTCAACACCAACAGTTCTCGTAACTCTTTTTTTTTTTTTTTTTTTTGTCAAAACAATTGGAGATTGAAGCTTGCTCCCACAGAAACTTGTAAACATTAGAGACAATTTTGTTTCCTACAAGTTAACTCATTATCTTCTTGTTCTTCCGCTATACTGCCCTTTAGGTAGCATGAGTAATAGACGTATAAATAAACAAACAATTCTAAGAAAACCAAGAAAGCATTTCTCTAACAAAGCCACACTTCAGCAACCTTTTGCGAGGTTCACTAAAAGCTACTACGCTCATTCCCCAAAAACTCAAGCTTGTGGAGGCGTGCAGAGTCGTTTAATATCACAACGTGTGCCCAGAAAACATTTAGTGGACAGACCAGTTACCTTTGTACTCTTGGAGGGCGATGACAAACTTGGACCGCTTTTTCAGGCCATCCAGGAAGAAGTCAACCAGGTCTCGCACGTCGTCGGAGTTGGGGGACTGGAAGGCAAACTCCTCTCCCCGAACTGTGCTTAGTGTGAAGCTTTGCAGGAACGGACGATTTCCTCTGAAAATAGAAAAGAGGCGAGCAGAGATGAGGAACAACAGCTGACTTGAATGCGAATCAAACGGAGCGTGCACAAATCGATTTGAGCACAAGCGACGTTTCGACAACGATCCCAAAGAGTTGCGAGAGTTATTAGCATGTTCCCGCATACGTGAGGTGAATAGATCGCCGGTGATGCGCCAAAAAACCTCCTTCGATTGGATTGTTTTCCTGCAACCATAGCCTCGATTACTGACAATGCTGCTACCGAAATTGCAATCGCCACTTGTAATTCATGATCCACAAAGTTTTCCATTTTTTCCTTTTCAATCGAAGTATACTCCGTCAGATAGGTTGAGTATAACGAAATTTTAGCCTAGAAGTATCATACCTAGCACCTCACCATAAGCCTGTAAGTCTCTGCCTCTTTCGCGAGCTATGTATTTCAACTTCCTTACCCGTGTGGCTAACATATTTTATTTCTGCGGTACAATTCAGATCAGTTCGATCATGCTCATAAGACAAGATTTCCCTCTTACAAAACTGTCAATGCTTTCTTTCAGTCATTTTTGCCACACACGTCTGAACTTCGCTATCCCGTGCAGACTATTGCGTGCTGGAAGCCAGACATTCGAAATACACATCCTGCTGTTCTCACTCTGTCAGTGACTGTCATTCAACCAAGCATTCAATGATGCTTAGTAAATGCTTTCAACGAGAAACACACAGCCAACTTTTCGCCAAGACACCCGGTACGTTTGCTTCCAGTGCCTTTGGGCCACCGAGGCAGCGGTTGTAAACGAAACGAAAACCAAGCTGCGCCGGGCTCTCACTTGTGGCTGGCCACGGAGGTGATCTCGGGGAAGGAGAGCTCAAGGAGCACCTGCTCCTGCTCGTCCACCACGTAGACACCCGTCCAGTTGATGGCAATGATGACGTCGTTCTTGGGCAGCAGGGGCCCCGAGCAGCGCAGGGCCTCGTAGAAGCGGGAGAACAGCAGCGGCCACTTGAGCTTGGCGTACTCCACCACGTCCTCCTTGACGCGGGCGGGGGGCACACGCTCCCGGAAGTAGTAGCTCTGGGCACGGGAGAGGACGGAGAGCAGTCCGATCGTAGAGGAACGTGCGCGGCGTACAGGAGGAAGGAACGGGCAGGGAACACGGGAAACGGAATCCTCGTGGCCCAGTACAATTCAAAGTTGCGTGCCCTTTCGAAATGCGAGAGCCCCTCAGCAAGGGCGCAAGACGGGGCCCCTCGGTGAGGTCACTGTTTTGACATAATCCAGGTCGGCCACCTGGGTGCCGTCTCACGTCACTGCAACTAACGTGTGAACTGGCAACAAGCGAAAAGATTCCCAATTTCTTGTCCTGTCCTGCAAATAAACTGCAGTGATGGACGAGACGCTGCACACACCGTTGCACGTTCTGCTGCGCACGGGCTACGTTTGTGCATTTTCCCGCTAAATTTAGACAAAAAAATGTTCCTTCCTAAATACGGCGAGAAATATCTTCGCTAAACTTAGCGAGAACTTTCTCCGCTAACTTAGCGGACTGCTGTCGTGACCCTTTTCGCAACCCCAGCCCACTGCTTGCCCTCTCACGGACGAACGAAGAACCGGGGGAGTGGGGACAGCGGCGGCGCAGAGCACGCGGAGACGGTGGTAGAGATTGTCGGCTTTGGCTAGACTTGGTGCCTTGGTGTTGCTATTACCTTATGGTTCTGGTTGGCATGTTCGTGCGTGAAGGAACTTTAACAATAAAAGTGAGCGCGTTGAAATAGGAATTCTCGTGTTCCACCCCGCAGCAGCATTGCACGAAGGGATTGGGAAGTCCAATTTCATTAGGGACTTTTCGTATATCGCATACGCCACGGATTTCCGGTCTTGTGGTCGCCAGCTCAATCTGTGCTCATTGTGATGGCAAAAGCTCCCGCTAGTAGTGTAGAGCTCTAGCGTATGGTCTACTAAAAAAAAAACTATTCTTTGCCCTAAGTTGGAGAGCTGGTCGTGCAACAGTATGTCGAGCAGTAGACATCGGGAATGGGTTCGCGTTTCAAGGCCGTTAGAAGGAACACAGTCATTTGCTCCAACCACTTTCAAAACACAGAATATGCATACATTCTTTCAAGTAATTACTAAGGCAAATAAAGAACTGCTCGAAGCATTTTAAGTGTGCCTGTGTTAGCCAGCCGTTCGTGACGAGTGTTTAGAACAGGCAGTTTCGGCAAAGCGGGTCGCAGCTTTGCAAATAACACGGTACACAAATGTAGTATACGGTATATTAAAACAGTATTTTTTTAAAGCAATAAATAAAACCTATAAACACACGAATTATGTTAATAGGCAGTTTTAGCATAGCGTTACTGCCGGTACCATCAGCACGGCAGCGCTCCCGTCGCGCGCTGAACATTATGCTTCAAAGGAGCAGCACACGCTTCCGGTTGCAATGCTGCACTGTACGATAGCCTGCAGTCACGCTATCCTAGAACTTCCCATCAATAACCATAGCACAGTTTGATCACATGTTGCAATACACTAAAACTGCTGATAGTGAGCAGCGAGTTGTGAGCCTGTGACACAAAGACATCAATACTGCAAATGCAGCTCTTCTGCAGCTTGACGGTGACCGTGCGCGGCTCATTTTTTAGAGCACTAATGGCCAGGCAAAGTGTAAAATATCTTCATCACCCTCAAAAATATTCTGCCACAAACAGTGACGTGGCTGGTGACCAAAAAGCGCTTGCCCTCCACAAAGCTTTGCAAGTTGAGGTTTCTGCAACTTTTAAGTATCAACATGCTCGCCTTTTTAACGCACATCGACATCTCCGTCACCTGTAATATGCTCCTGCCCTGACCACTTTGCATTTGTACACAAATAAATTATTTTTAGCGCCCTCACCAGCGTCAGCGAGCAGGTGGACAGGAAATCCTGGAAAATCTATCCCCGTCTCTTCCGTCATCTTGGAACTACCGCTCCATCATCTATAAGGCATTGGAGTTGCGAATAGGTGGTATTCACTGGTGGCCATGGTTGAGTCCGTTGTTGCTCGGGGCGAACTTACAACGAGCTTCCTCAATGCTTGCGCAAGGCGTGTTGCGTGCAACTGAGACTGTAGTTCTTCTCGGAAGATAAGCGGGGGCTCGTTCCAAGCCCGTGCTGCGAACCCCATGCTTTATTACGGCGTCCAGTGAATACCACCTCTGGGCCATACCAGAAAGGGGCTGCAGCTGGCTAATGCCACTTTCAGCATTTGTGCGTATGGCGCATGCATTGCTCAATTTCTTGAAGCAACGAATGTGCACATGCTGGGCTGTAAATTTGTAAACAGTGGAAACAAACCTCGCCGTAAAAACGAGAAATGCCCACCTTGTTGGAAGCCTGCACCACAAGGCTGGCCCAGCGTTCCAGGGCCTTGTCACTGGCCTGCAGGCAGTTGTCTGGAATGTAGGTGGGAAGGAGGGCAAGGAGGGTGTCCATGTTCAGCTCTGCCCCGTGGTCCACATAGTACTGCTGGGCGGCAATCATGGCCAGGTCCTCTTCCTGCAACAAGCAAAGATAGAAGACGAGACTTTAAATAAAAAAGGGCTCGCTGGTGGCATGCCAGAACGCCCGTCGTTCTTGGCAGCTTACAACGGTTTTCTCCACGAATTTCGCCACGCTCGGCATCAACTTTTACGTGCCACGTCGTCTGGGTTAGCGTAGCTTCCAAACCAGATGAACCAAACCTGATGTTTGTGTTTAGGCGGTGTAGGTTCGGTCTGCTTTTGAGGCGTGGCGACACCTGTTTACGCTGTAGGGAAGAGATTTTGCCAGTGCAGTGCCAATGCTAGCTCGGGGTCTTTGACATGCATCACGCAGTAGTGACACATGACTGCACGCCATTACAATGCTCGTCCAGGTCAAAGCAAGGGGGGGGGGGGGGGGGTTTGAATCCAGGATCCCTTCTGTGGTGCTAGCTTTTCCACAATGTGCTCCGAGCTGTGGTGCGTTAACACACTTGGCCACCGATCCCCCCAGTGCTCCAATGCTGTCAAAGCTACTTGCAAGAGTAGATGGCTTCACGAGATCGCATGCGAATGAGGCACAAGACGAAGCGATGCATGCTCTCACAGCAGTGCGGGGTTGTAGTACTGCGAAAACTACACTAGCCTCGACAATTAACATAGAGCAAAACAGTTTGACGCCGAGTATTGGTACAAATAAGAAACTTAGCGCTTTAAAAGTATATACAGCTCCTTTCTGACAGAGTGCCTTCATTGCCCTTAAATCGCAATGTTACCTAGTACAAATATCCAGTTTGGAAACGGAGTCCAAATAAGGCATGCCATGCCTACAGGGCACACACACAACTGACCTTTTTCCAGTAAGCCTCCGAGCAAGTGTACCATCTCTCCACTAACCCTTGCTTCCCGCTGTTGCCATTTGCAGTGGGCACTGCCCCGCACGACCGACATTGTCAGCACCTACCTTCGCATGTATTTAGTCTTTTTCTGCAATTCTTTCTTGAGCATGGTAGTATGGAGGATAAAAAACAAGGAAAACCAATACAACGGCACAATGCCAATATGTTCCGACGAGTAGATGGACACTGGGCTGCTCTTAGTTTGTGGGTCGCACACAGCCTCCTTCCCCCCCCCTCCCCTCCCTCTCCCCTCCCCTTCCTTCCTCCCTCCCTCCCTCTCTTTCCCTCTCTCTCTCCTTCCCCCCCCCCCACACACACACACAGCACTTGTTACTCGAAAAAGGTAATTTGCGCAAACCAAACGGGAATTTTTGCGGTCGCACACACCGAGTTCCGGATGAGACAAGGAACATGCGAGCAGCAGTGTCACCTTATCGCACTTGTACTCGCCGAACTTGATGCCACGCACGACCTGCTGGAAGATGAGGTTGCTGGCCTCCGGGTCCTGGGTGGGGTCGTGCCAGGGGGCGAAGATCTCCTTGCGGAAGAAGAGCCGCCAGGGGGCGTTGCGCTCCTGGGCCCCCTGCTCCTTGGTGTACTGCTCGCACTGTGAGATGGCGTCCATCACATGCTCCCCGCCGCTGCCCAGCGACGACACCTGAATGCGTGAGACGAATTGCAATGGGGAGGGAGGTCAGGTGACTAAGACTACGCACAAAGGTGTTCTCAAATTGATTCTCGAATCAAGCTCCTACGAACCCAAGGGGGTTTCCCCAAGAACCCTCGGATAATCTACAAGCTCCTGAATTTTCTTGACATCCCTGCACTTAAAGTATCCGAGCTAACTTGGAGTTAGTTGTCAGTGGAGCAAACAAATGCTGCCTCTGCTTTAATCAGTTGAGACCGGTTAATTGTTATGACTCGCAACGACAGGCATGTTGGAAAACTTTTAACTCGTGAAGCAGCAATGATTTGTCCTCAACTATACTCCGTTTCAGGCTTACTGTGGAATGTAGCAGACATTACGAGCCGTCCCAGTCAATCCAGCACCATCGACGTATCACCCAACTACGCTACTTATGCATCATTGCACCCCTCCCAAGGCTCACACGAACACGACACTCGGACAGCACTAAATTTGCTCCGACATCGCACAGGGCCCACTGCGGTCCGTCGTACGGTGAAATGAAGTACGGTCGTTTACAGTGTGGGACACTTCTCAAAAATGCGACGAGCACATCATATACTTTCTCTTGCAAGTGAGAGGCACGGATAAAACAAGCTCACCTTGTCGAAGAGGGCAATGTAGAGCGAGAACCCGAACTGGTCCCTGAGGCCGATTTTTCCCGACAGCTGGGCGCAGAGCTCCCTCGCCGTGGTGGCAGAGTCTGCCAGGAGGGTCTTGGTGTTGCCATCCATGAAGGTGATGGGCAGCATCAGGGGCTTTTTGGACTTGGTTGCCTGCAGCTCGAGCCACGAAGGGGGCTGCCCTCGCGTGCCGTTCATGAACGTCCGTCGCAGGCGCTCCTCGCAGTACGGCGCGTAGCCCGGAGGCCCCTCCCTGATCAGGTTCAGCAGGTACTTCACAAACTGCGTGAAACCAACGAAAATACACTGTAAAAAACACTGTCCACTTCTCTATGCTGTAAAGAACTTAAATTACATTTTGCGAGCTATGGGTTTTGCGGATACAGAACTTCATGATTGGGAATGGTATGCCATGCATTCATACTATGGGGTGTGATAAATTTTCCACAATATCTTTCAAATTATGAAATTGGCAAAAATGAAATATTCGCAAATATTAAGTTGTTTACGGAAACTGCATTTGCGTAGTAAAAATCTGAACGTCGTAAAGGTACTAACCAGTATGTTATACTTATAGTAATAAAACTAAAATGGCAGTGGCCATAGAATAGAACCTTTCAATACTAATGAACGACACAATAAAGATTAATACAGTAGTGAAGAAAAAAAAGAAAAGGCTGAACTATGCATGCAATATGCATGCAATTGTAAATGGGCATTTGAGATACCTCAAAGGCCCATAGTGAAGCTTTTTCCTGAAACACTGACCTCATTAGTGAGAGGTCCTACTATACAAGGGTTGCAGTTTACAAGCATCGCACATATCATCTATGGTACTAATGTACATTTATGAGCTGCGTTTATTGGCACAAAAATGCCAATAAACGCAGTTCATAAATGTCCCTCCAGATATTATCAACAACCAGGGCTGTTCTATCAATATCCAAACTATCCTTTGTGCTTTGAATAAATTTCATTATTATATCGTTTTAACATCCAAGGGTAGAGCTGAACACTGCCATGTTCTCTTTGAGCTAAAAGGGTTGCCGCTGCCTCGTCTGTTCACCTTGTCCGAGGGTGCAAAGCATCCCACACAGAGTGACAGGAGGATCCATCCCCTCGCATGTGAGTTTTTCTCTGGGTTGTTTGTGAGCTGCTTGCAGATCTGGCAGTAGATTTCATCCCTGGAATGGTACAGAATGCATGGCACTGTTAGCGCGAAGAAGAGATCGGCAGTTTCTCATGTTTTTTTTTTTTCTTATAATTGGAAGACTGTTATCAAAACTACTAGCGGGGTGTTTAGTGTTTGTTCAGGGAACCAATCTAAGCAGTCAGATATGGTACTCCTCCCAGTCTGACTAAAATGTGATAAAATGATGTTGCGTTCGCACCTAACTGTGCCACACAGTGTGCATAAAGTCCACTCAAGTTTGGCAAAAAAAAAAAAAAAAAAAGCTTTTGTAAAAGGGTATTGAGCTATTTTAGTGCAGTATAAAGCCAAGTCTCATCCACATCTATATCCTGTCCGGCAGAATTCTCAAAAGCCATTAGCTGGAGGTGATGGGTAATTCTGGGTGATGATTGTGCTGTGTGTTTGCTCACACAATGGGAGCACCTTATCGGCTAATGCCGATAACATTTGAAGCGTCGGCAAAGTATACATCCATGGACATACATATCAAGCTCGTCTACAGCACTGCAAGAGGAAAACCAAGAAGAAAATGATGAAATGCAGTAACAGTATATGTTGTTCTGATCCACAACAAGGGCCATTAGACAATACAAATATAAGCTTGGTGCTTTTTTTTAAACAAAATAGCGTTAAGGAGCTTGCGTCGCAGAAAAACCGGCGTCGGTGGAGTGACACGAAAATCCTGATTGGTTGGTAGGGTCATGACGTCACAGCCACATGACCTCGCCTGGGAATTTCAAACAACCCACAACGCTCATGTGAAACATGATGTCACGCGTGGAATGAAAGTGATGAAAACATGACATGTAATGCGAATTAAAGGTCGCCATATGTATCACATAATTTCACTTTATAAAATAATTCATTTGCCTTAAAGAAAAATTTGAAGAATCGTAGGCGGGATTCGAACCCGGGACCCTTCGGTTGCGAGCCAGACACGCTATTGACTAGGCCCCACAAGGCATGAGCGCACAGCAAATAAGAAGGCAATGCGAACGGGGCCCGATAACGCTATCGCGTTCCACTCTTAAAGGTGAAGCTCACAAGTCTTCCAAGTTTTTCCTCATGGGCAATCGACGAATGGTATTCATTAATAGATGAGATTGCACCCGAGCACCTAACAGATTGCCAAAAAAATACAGGGGACGCCAGATGGCCCATAAAGACCTCAGAAAGGGTCACATCGTTCACCGAACTTCCAAATCTTTTAAGCCACTCCTGCCTCCAAATAGAATGCTCTTCCAGCTTAAGCGCTATATCAGAAGGTCTGATCCATTCACTGACACATATGCCACACACACCATAATATGTGCACGAGCATTATTTTTTACAAGGGGCTCCTCGGCTGCATTCGAGAGAGTTTAGCGTTCCTCGGAATACAAAAAAGAGTGACGCGAAAGAGGGCAGTCCCTCACCTGAGCTCGTCCCTCAGGATGCCGTGGCCGATGATGAAGTGCAGCTTCTCCAGGTTGGAGGTGGGCCGGCTCTCGAGCCAGTGGCCGTAGTTGTCCGCCGCCAGCTCCTCCTCCTGCAGGTGTCGCCGCACGTCCTCTGTGATCTTGTTCTTGCGCTTGAGCGTCAGTGACACCAGCTTGTTGCGGATGCTGCGGGACTTCTGCTTCGTGTACGAGTCCTGCGTGTGGTGGAACGTCCAAGTCGGTCAACGGGGTGGCCGGCGAGTTTTGAGCTCGCAAGGCTACTATGTTTGCTTGAAACGCGTCCTAGACTGGTACTTTCAGCGTCCTAGAAGCCAATCTGCCAACTATTTTCTATTTTTATTTCTTATTTTCATGCAATTTCTTAATATCTTATTTTTCTTTTATTACAGTAGAACCTCGCTGATAAGTTTTTCAGGGGACCGCAGAAAACAAAAGTATTACCCGAGAAAATGTAAAACTGGTAACGCACTTAGGGGGCTCTACATGATATAGAAAGCAGCTCTTATACAATGGTTTGTTTTATGCGTACTTACAGAACAGTTGAGGACTCGGATGTGTTCACAAAGGTGCGTAATATTCGCCTGCCGCTTCGAATTAATGTTAAGCAGTAAAAGCCATTTCTTTAGGAGCCGCAGTTCTCTCTCACCCTCTGCGCAGTCGTGAACATTTACGTAGTGGCACAAGGTGTCCAATGCAACGATCGCGTCCGCAAATGTGGGCACAGCGTAATCCTTCGTTTCTTGCTCAACATCTTTGTCACTCTCTTCGTTGTCGGCAGTAATGAGGTCGGCCACGATATCTTATGTCAGATCTCTTCCGGCTGAGATTGAGATCCACCGTCTGAAGTATATCGAACTTCTCTTTAAAGGAGAGTGCCTTCCTTTTTCGAGATGCCATGACCGTCGTGAATGGATGCAAAGTACTCCGAAACATCACGGTTCATGCAATTGAGTGGAGCAGAAACGAGAAGCGCAGCTTGCATGCGGGTGCACCTCGTGTCAGAGAAAGAGAGAGCAAGAGAGAATGAGCGTTTGTTGCTGTTTGCCGCCTCGCCAGCCTCGCTCCCCGTCCGAGCACACCCGGGCGAGATGGGAAGCTGTGGCAGAGCTCAGCAAAGCCCAGTGAGGAGACAAAAAGTCAAATTTGGGGGTTTCACGTGCCAAACCAACGACAGGCATCTGGCACGCCCCAGCGGAGGACTGAGGATTAATTTAGACCACCTGGGGATCTTTTGACGTGCAACCGAAAGCTCGGTTACACGGCGCCTTCTCCGCAATAAGCCTCAGTCAGATTGCGGGCACCTCGGCCGGGATTCGAACCCGTCACATGGGGATCCGTAGGCCAGCGCTCTCGCCTCGGAGCCACCGAGGCGGCTCCCAGTGAGGAGAGAGAGAGACGGAAAAGAAGGGGAAAGAAGCAAAGGGAAGACGGGCGTCTGCGTGCCCACGCGTGCCGTGCAACCCGCATTGCATGGTTCGGCTTTACTCCGCTAGCTTCGCTTCGAAGCTAGCATGGCAGCCTGGCGCCGCGATGCCAACACTTTTGGACATAACAACCGGGAAAGCAAATGTAACAGGCAGGAAACTGATACGCGTATCTCTATGGAAGTAAGACGGGACCGGCGTTTTTTAACGTAACAACCGAAAAAACTTATCAACCGAGAATGTATCAACGAGGTTCTACTGTATTTCATTTTTGCTTCATTTTAATTTTTTTTTGTCAATTTATTTATGTTTTTTGTTTTGATTAGTTTTACGTCCACCCAACAACCTGCCGCTCTTACCGGCACGTTTGCATTCAAAATGAAAATCATTTATCCCCCGAGACCAGATGTGCCAATAGCTTGGAGGCTACGATATCCGACTCCCACCGCACAGACCCGAATTCAAGCCCCCCCGGGATTCAAACTTTATATATTCACTTCACATAAAATCTTAACGTCTGCCATGCTCCCAGCACGTCACTCATTCACGATGCTCGCAATGACGGTCGTTACGACGCTCGTTCACGACGATTTTCTCATAGGAAACACCCCATAAAACACATTCTGCGTTAAAATTAATTACATTTCGGTAGACCGTCACACCGTCAGTCGCTGTGATCCTGGCAGTGATTTGCGGAACAGTTCGAGAAATGCTGCCCCAAGGTATAGTAAATTTGGAAAGTTAACGTGCCGAACCATCAGACATGCTCCAGTGAAGGGTTAGCGAAGGACTGAGGGTCAATTTAGAATTTCGAGATGCAACTGAAACCTCAGTAATGGTGCACCATGTCCGTAATAAGCCTTCGTCAAATTGATATTTCGCAGTATATATGCTGCAAACACATTACACAGTGCCAAGCTATGAATGCGAGTAAAGACAAAACATCCAACCTAACGGCTTTGAGAACAGGGAACAAGCAACGTATAGAGAAGGACTACACTGGTGAACCAATCATGTTCAAAGTTAAACTTACAGTGTCCACCCCCATCATCTGGGCCTCACGGAAGTCCTTGGTCCTGATGAAGTTCCGGCCAAGGGTGGCAGTCACTTTGCTCATCACTGACGAGTTGTCCTGGGGGACGAAACAACAAAAACCTCACTTCACTCAGAAAACTTTAAAATCAGCAACTTGCACATTGAAAGGCACTGATTCGACGGAGGTTTAATCTTCGATGCTTGACTATTTATGTCCCTCAGTCTTCCTGAAATAACTTCCAGGCTCACGTCAAGTATTTGGGATTCAAACAATGCCAGATAATGTAAGAGGCAGTGAAGGGAAAATAATGGCATCATTCAAGTTTTATACTGATATTACCCGTCTTAGGTAGCGATAAAAAAAATGCCTATTCCTTAGGGACACTTCAGCCAAAAACACACCTAACGTAATATGCCGAGAGATGGCCGCCTAAAATCAAAAGCAAATTGGGTGAAAATAAAGAGTGGGCTAACTTTCCGTGTGCGATCAAAAGAAAGTTGAAAAAATGCTAGTTTTAGATTCTGTGACCTGCGAAATTTGTGATCGCAGGGAGGGGTGATGAACCAAAGACGACAGTCATTCCTAATCAGCAATATTTGCACCTCCCGTTGTGGCTAAGTAATAGCATTTCTGCCGAGGTCACCACTGGCCAGAGCTTACAATTACTATAAATGGGCTACCGTATTTACTCGCACAATGAACGCACTCGCGTAATGAACGCACCCCCCAAGTCGGCTCTCAAAATTTCGACTTTTTTTTTTCACTCGCGTAATAAACGCACCCCCAACTCGGATGTCAAAATTTTGACCCCCTCCCCCAACGCGCGCAAAATGAACGCACTTTTCTATCCTGGTGCAGCGAGGTCACGAATACATGGGCAGCGTGGGCGAACAAAACGCCTTGTAAAAGGCCTTAAAAAATTCGCAAAGATCCAACGGAAGCAAGAAAAAAAAAACATGGAGAGGAGCTTTTTTATTTTTGCACAGCGCAGTCTGGACTTTCGGTTCGCGCGCCGCCGCGCGCAAGGAGGTAAGAAAGAGAAGCTTGCGAAAAGAGGAAAAAAAAAAAACAACAAAAAAAAAAAACAGGGAATTAAAAAAAAACAAAGAGGAGCTTTTTTTTTTTTTTTTTTTTTTTTTGCGCAGCGCAGTTTGGTTAGGGGGGGGGGTCGCGCGCCGCGCGCAAAGAGGTAAGAAAGAGGAGCGGAGTCCCTCTAAGCAAACAAAACAGCTTGCGAAAGGCAGCAAAAAAAAAAAAAAAATCCACGGAACTGAGAAAAAAAACAAAAAAAAAAAGAGGAGCTTTTTTTTTCTTTTTTTTTTGCACAGCGCAGTTTGGTTACCGGGGGGGGGGGGGGGGGGGGGGGGTCGTGCGTAGCGCGCAAGGAGATAAGAAAGATAAGCGGAGAGCCCTCGCCTAAGCAACGCCTAAGCAAACAAAACAGCTTGCGAAAGGTGGCAAAAAAAAAAAAAAAAAGAAACCAAGGAACTAAGAGAAAAAGAAAACGAAGAGGATTTTTTTTTTCTTTTGCACAGCTCAGTTTGGTTACAGGGTTGGGCGCTGCGCGCAAAGAGATAAGAAGCTACTTCGATTTTTCAGGATAAAAGGTCCGTTCATTATGCGAGTAAATACGGACGCAAAAATTTTACTTCGCGTAATGAACGCATCCCCCAACTTTGCATCGATTTTTCGGAAAAAAAAGTGCGTTCATTCTGCGAGTAAATACGGTATTTATCGGTGTATTTGGAAAAATAGCAAATCATGCCAAAAATGGAGATGAGTTATCTTTCAGGGGTGGGGCATCTCTCGGGATGTTACGGTAACCATCTCCCTTCACGTTACGAGAGCCCCTGGCTTTTTTCCCTTAAGCAGGCCTAAGCCGCGGACGTGACGGCTGGGGTCGTCCGGCTTCTAGCCTGCGCGCTCTGTACACTGGTCTTAAAGCTTTTTTTTTCTTATTTTGTGACCAAACCCATTGAAACTGCATAAGCTTGTTCAGCTTTTTGTGCTGATTTCATATATCTGGTCGTTTTCTCAGTCAGGAGAATTGTCCTCATGATAATTAAAACTTGCCTGCCTTTGCTTCGAGGAACGATAGTAAAAAAACTGCTTAACAAAATATCCTTTTTAACACATGGCTAGATACTAGAAAGTGTAGAGCATACAATGTTGGAAGTACTATTAAAATAAACCAACTATTAGTGATTTTACCACACATTGAAGTTCAGTGCTCAATGCATGACTAACAAGTAAGAAAACAAAAGATCAAATAGAAAATTTTCTAGACTTTTATTAGAAAATCTGTCCTCAACATTGTATGCTTCACACATTTAGCTACACATTTCAGGGAAGGTTATATTCGTATCTGCTCTGGATGCTGAGATATCCCTCCTGCAAATTTTCAATGAGTCCAAAAATTGTGTCTTGTGAAAGCAATGTTTTAGAGTCAACTTCAACTCACATTTTGCCCGCATAGACATTATTATTTGATTTATAGCCCAAAATATTCACCCACAAAATTAGAAGCCTGGTAAATTCAGAAGAACAACAGCCATCACCATTTTCAAAAGAATACAGTTTTAGGATGTTTTTGGCTCCAAGGACCCATGTCCCCCCTTAAGGAGAGTTTGCCACATTGCTAGCCTGTTCCCTCGCAAACATATTACAAGATGGCTGCCTTACTCTGTCCATCGTGTGGAACTTGGGCTCTGGCAGGTCTCCCATGAAGCGCAGGATTGTGATCCACAGTGCCAAGGCAGCCTGAAAGCAGGTCAAAAGAAACATGCCACCTCGGCCTACGGCAGTTGCCAAACGATTAACGCCGAGAAAGTGCCACGTAAAGTGTGCCGCCACCAACCATGGTGTCTCCCTGGGTCTGCAGCGGCAGCAGGGAGTTCTTGAGGGGCTTTCTCTGGTACTGGTGGCTCGCAGTGCCCTGGAAGTAGGTGGCCGCAAACTTCTGGAACTTGTACTCCGTCAGGTCGTCTTTCTCCTCGGGCGCTGCCGGGATCGAGCCTTCCACCTCGCCCCCGTTGATTGCGTTCTCGCGGGACGCTTCCAGGTCCTGCGTCGGAGATGCGCCACATGTACGCCGACCACGGCAAAGGAAAAAGGTCCGACACGATGGGCTTTAATCTGATATCAATTAAATACGAGCGATAAAGTTTCATTGTCTTCGGCACAACGGCGGAAGTTTTGAGCGTAAAGCACCCTCGTGGTACTTAGTATGAGCAAAAGTCTAAAGGGTAATCTTTCTAATGAAGGTAAACTGACTGCTCTGCAGACTTTTTGCAATTTTCCGAGTTTACTGTCAAGCCCGGAACACAGATGCCAAAAACCAACCGAAAATCGGACAAAATTCATAGCGCGCAAAAAACTACTCCTGCTTATCTCGGAAACGAGGGTAACTGCTGCACGCAAACTTCAAATATGGTCTCGTTAAAACCATATTCGCAACATTTTGTACCGCAAATACCCTCGTGTGGTTTGTTTCTTGAACGAAAGTGTACAACTGTTTTTTCGAGTTCAGATTTTTGCACGGTCTTCAGCATGCTTTTTGCACATCTGTTCCAGCCTTATGGCTTATTGATAACGTATCAACTAGTATATATTCGTTAGCACCTTTCAACTGACCTAACATTGCATTTTGTTTGAGCACACAAAAAAAGCGATCAAGGTGCACTTTCCACATATTATAAAACTCAGAACACTTAAAAAAAAAAAAAGGCCTTTCACACCTGCATCACTAGAAACGAGAAAATTCATGTCAACCACAACACCAAAGCATAAATTTTAGAAAGCTTCAAGATCATGCTGCTTCACACCAGTCCAAATTAGCTTAGATAACACCATGCCATGCTTACAAAGAACCTCGAAAACGCGCACTCGCACGCCACACTGACACCTCAAGAAAGCGAATTGCCTCATCCACACACCATAAAGGCTACCCTCTCCCCCCTTCGGTACTCTCACCTGGCAGCCATTGCAACGTGCCCAGCGATACAACTTCTCTCCCCCACACACCTGCCCTCCACACCCGCACCGCCCCTTGTGCAGCCTGGTCACACGCACTAGCCGCTCGCAATAAGTTCCTCGGGCATCGACGCGCATCGCGGAATACACCTCGAGCTTCTCGGCGCTATCCATAAACAACACCAATCAAAAGTGCATCTTCACAGGCAGCCCGAAACGCATGTGCACACGCATGAGACGGCACCAAAACAGAAGAGACGCAGAGATTCCAATTCGTCAGACCCAGTTTCACGCTCCGGCGATTCCGCATCCTCCGATCGGCGCGTTTCCGCAAGGCGCGACAGACTCCCCATGCGTAACGGGGTGTTTGGAAAAAATGGTTAGCGTTTCGGCACGAACGCGGATCAAAACAAGGCTCGTTGCAAAAGTGCCAACAAACAATGCTTCATACGGTTCCCACCACTGAAAGTGCTTGTGTCAATCCGACAGCACCGTTTTGAGCCATTGCTGACCTTTCAGAGACAAATTTTTAGCACATTTTAATGCTTTAAAAAAAGAAAATGGTTTTAAGTATGCATTATGCACATGCAGGAAAGTGCACACAGTGTGCACTTTCATGGTGTTTTCATGTTAAGCAAGGCTCACATTGGAGCATTACATGAAATATGCTTTGTCACGAGCCTTCATAAGCATGCAATATATGCTACAAGATCTCTCTTTAAAGGTGCAACTGCAAAAAAACACGAGTGCAGTAAAAACAAAAGTAGCAGTTAGCTCGTCACGCTGGTACAGGCATATAAAGAATTGACATGGTAAAAATACTAGGGGTGTGCGAATACCGAATAGTAGTTCTCGAATCGAATACCGAATCGAATCAAGAAAAAAAGCCGAATATCGAATCGAATAGTGATTTTATTTGTAGGAATTTCTCAAAGTGTGCTGCGAATGAGTCTATATATGTGCAGAGTATGCGCCTGGTGTAGAATATGCATCTTGTACAGAACAATAGCAAAAATGTAAAAAAGTTCTGGTAAAAAAAAAAAAAAAAAAAAAAAAAGCAGTTGCTGTTGGACGTTGGGCACTAAAGATCCAATTTTATGGCGCAAACATAATCTATCTACCCTAAACGTCACACACAGAAAAGAAAAACAAGAAAAGTTACAGCCACGCGTGCCTTTTTTTTTTTTCTCGTTAAAAGCACAATTTAACACCGCGACTTTTTTTTATATATATATTTGTGTATCTCAGAAAAGGGGCATTTTGCGATATTTGGTCTCCATTTTAAGGAAGAAAAAGGACACCGGGGATTTTATTTCCCATAAATAAACATATAGGTGTTAAATCTGAGTAAACAGGCTTAAACAATATAATCTGAAGCAAGAAAACAAAACGTGGTTAGGTGGCGCAAGTCACCGTCCGACTGCCTCTATGCATCCATTTTTCCGTCGTATCTCTCCTGTTTTAGAGAGCCTTGATTTAAAAGAGGAAGCAAGCGAAACTGAAATTACGGAGACGGCTCCAGCGCAGATTGGTCGTAAGTGCGCATGTGTTGTGTTGTCGCGTGGAGAGAGGGCGAGCAAACAAAAGAGCGACGACGCCTGCCCTGCCTGCCCGATCCCGATCCCGATCGACGCTTTCGTCTTTTCGTCACCTTCTCGCAGTTCAGAATGGACTTCTTCCAAAACCGACGCGCCCCATCGCGGCGAAATACCACGCAGTGCACTCTGGGAACTAGTTGGCCGCTCAGTTTCGGTTTCGACTGAGCATCTTCATCTCTTGCTATCAATGCCGCGACCGAACGCGCTGCTTGCGTTTTCGATTATCTGACTTTTCACGAGCGTACAATACACTCATTCTCGAGCGATACAAAACAAAGACCGGAACACTTTTCTTCGTTCCCGAAACACCAGATGTTATGAGTGCGTATGCAAACGTAGTAAGACGTGCCTCAGTCACCTCACCCCACGACTGCATCTTTGAGTTCAATTTCAATAATCCCGTCTAGTACCAGTTAACAAGAACTGAAATTTGTTCATCTGGAGCCTTTCACCTATTTTGTTTGCCATACGTCCGCTTCTTGTTACTTCATTGGGCAAAAAGCAAGCCTCATTCTCGCAGGAGTATCAAAGTTCAGCCCAGCGTTGACGCATGAACTTTTAAGGAAACGCTATAAATTCGACCTCACTACTGCACAAAAGTTACTATGATGCCTTCCTCGTGTCATCATATATCTCCCACTCAAATTTTATGCTGATAGAAGATTAAGTTTTCGCAAACGCTGAGATCGGCTAGCTACGACGGAGGCCCTAACAAGCGTCCCCTACTCCTCGCTAATTTTTTTTGGACGAGCTTTTACTGACGCCCAAGATCTGTGCCTGAACGGTGTGTCTGAAATTATCTCGACATACTCAGGCAGGAAGAAAGCAAACACAAAACAAATATTATGGCCATTAGCAACCGTCAAACGCGCTTTGAATAATTTCAACATAATTGTAAACCTGAGACTGGGGCAGAAGAGAGAACACAACAGAAGGTAGTAAAAAAGGAGGTTGCCTCCACTTTTACTATACCTTCTGTTGTGTTCTCTTTTCTGCCCCAGTCTCAGGTTTACAATCATGTTCAACTTACACCAGCTCGCCTGCAATCTGACTATTTTTTCATGAATAATTTCGTTCGTTTGGCGCACCGCATAGGGGTTCATGCCCGTCCGGCGCACTCCCGGCGAACGGTGCAACATTCTTCACACAAGTGCTCGACTTTTGCTTTCTAAAAACGGTCTGTATGAGCGAATGTGCCTATATGATTGCAGGGTAACTTTATGCGCATACGTCATGTTGAACATTATGGAATGCAAGCGGGTGGGGACCTCACTTCGGGTAGTGCTGCGAGTCAGTACAGATAAGAGACAAGAAGTGTGTTAAAATTAAGCTTTTCAATGGCGCCTCCGAGTTTTACCTCACGTACTCAGGCGTATTAAGAAAAACAGTAATTGCAAAAAGTGATATCTCGTCTATCGACGCACGAAACAAACAAACTTCCTGATCAACAACACTAATGTAAAGGCGCAAACTCGATGTATGCATACTTATTGGTTGCTAGAACTTGTTGATTTGTAAACAAGCAAGATCCCCGAGCTTCGCAGCGTCGAGATTCCCGGCACTGGCTCGTCCGCATACCTCGATTGGAACGCTAACAGAAAGGCTCAAGTACAAAAATACAACAAGCATGAGTTAAGACAAGCTATACGTCTCGGGCTTGTCCAAAGCTTCGAGGTCTGGCCATTTAGGTTAGTTTAGAGACCACAAATGACGCTCTTGGGACCAGAAAACATGAGATAACGGCCGTTAATAGTCCACGCTCTGTGTATAATCTCATGTCGACGTGTCGATCGAAACCGAAACCATGCTACCCTCCTCCCTGGCTGGCCAACTAGTTCCCAGAGTGCAACGCGCACCGTGTTGCATGTAGGGCTTTATGGAAGTAGTCTATTCAAGCGCGGCTATTGAACGGTTGGAAACCCTCTCAAATCTAGGCACAATATTTTTCCGTTCCGTTTCGTTTCGAATCAGAATTTGCAGCTTTCGGCGCTTGCGGCTTGCGGTTCTAAAAGAACGACGACGATAACTCGGCTGGTTTCATCGGCGTGGTTAACGTAGTTTTCTTTGTGTGATCGTGCAGTCGCCGATTTCTGTGAATGCGGCAAGTGTGTCCTACATCGGCGCTTCAATTTGAAACGAGGGGCTTTACTCATCAAAAGAATTAGGCATGGCGCGGAATTCCGGCTTCTCTGTTTCGGTTGTGATTCAATGGAAGATTGTGTCACGATCGTGAGTAAATCTGCGTGCTATAAAGTTCGTGGCGTTCGTTACTTTTCTTTTTTCTAACCTGTGCGTTAGATTTTTGTGGAATGGTAGGACCAAGAGGTGTTTCTCGCATGGTCTGTCTAATATCACGGCGCTTACATCGGGAGAAAAAACGGCTTTTTTGTCAGCTCCGCGCCGACCGCGCGTCTTTGGCCGAATATATCGAATATTCGAGTGACCGAATACTAGGAATTCGATTCGGGATTATTCGGGATCTTTCTATTCGATTCGAATTCGTATATTCGAGTATTCGCACACCCCTAAAAAATACTAATATAGCAAAAGCAATATTTTTAGTTGATTTTACAAAAAGGCATTAGGTACTCATATTTATTCTTTTGATAAGAACATTGCAGAAGATGCTAAGAAATTGCATCTTTGTGTGACATCTCAAAAAGACAAATTTATTACCTATTGTATGCCATGCATGTATCTTTACTACAAATAAAAGAACAAACCTTGAATCCTGAAGGTCCAACTTGTTCGTTGACAGATTCCGAGCGGGGAAGGAAATCGAAAATGACGTCAACCTGAAAACGACAAGAAGCATTAATCGCCAAACTTCATACAGTGTCACATGAACAAATGCATAAGTTGTCGCTAAGTAGTACCTATTCTCTTCAACAAAAAAAATTCGCAACACATTTCACTGCACACTTTACAGGGAAGGGAATCTATAGTGAGAGAAGTATATGTATGAGTCATACAATGGCAGAGGCAAACAATCAAGAGAGAACTGTACCAAGAAAATATTGTAAAGACGAAAATGAATAAAGAATTTGAGCCGATCAGGTTTTTGTGGAAAGCTACTTGTATTGGAACACCATGCTGCCCTTTGAAAGCATGCTTTTAGGCACGTGTTTACGGTGGTACACGGTGGTATTGGGCCTTCGAAAACAACTGTCTAAAACTTTCTTTTCATGCACAACAAAACTATCTTATTGAAAGATTTTTTTGTAGCTTATATGTCGAATTAAGCTGCACCCTTCTTTAGAAAATGTCTGCAACCCCGACAAGGGCTGCCAGTTGCATCCACAGACACAACAAAAAAACTAAACGCTGCTGATTTGTGGGTGCCACCCGCACTACATTCCCATTCTTGTCCACAGATGTTCAGGTGTTCTTTTGTATAAGCCTATGGTATAAAACTTGGACATTCACAGGCTCTACTCTACTACGAAAGAAAACGACAGTTGAGAGTCAGCACTGAGACTGTGCGTGTCTTCCCCTTGTTCCTCTGTCCTTTTTCTGTGCAGTTTTATATATACTCTGCAGAACATTACCAAACTAATAGAATGCAAGTACATGACCAATCAACAAAAGAATTATAAGAGATAATATAGTAAGGGTGCAGGCGAGCTGGTGAATGTTAACGATGTTGAATAAACCTGAGACTGTTTTTGTTTTTTCACCTCCTTATATAGCTTACAATCATCCACCACCAACACAAAGGGGCAACCTCTAACCAGTTCAAACGCCAAACCCTCCAATCAGCCACTACCAACAGAAAAGGACCTCTAAACATTCCAAACGCCATGGACGGCCTTCATGCCGATTCACAAAGATAACTCTACGATCCCCCCCCCAAAATTTAACAAAAGGAACAGTACCTATTCCATTCCGACAAAGGTTCACAAAGAAACCAATGCCCTCTCCACAAAAAAAAAAAAACAAAAATCTTTTATGCCAGCGATGTGAACAAACCTGGTAGCTGAGTTTGAGACGTCGTCCTGTCCTTTTCTGTTCCTTCGACTTATATGTTCATTTCTGCCCCAGTCTCAGGTTTATTCAACATGGAATTAACAAAAAAATATTTGCAGCCTTTTCCCTCAAGCCTGAAGAGGCCAAGATCAAAGGTGAAAATATTGAAGTTACTAGCACTCGGTCACTGTACACAGTGACAGTATAGTGACGCAGTGACAGCAGGAGGGAGCTTCACTTGTCCCGCCTCCAGCTCAGGCTTCCTACCTTCAATGACACTATGGCCTCTCACAAGCCTCGAGTGTGCATGCGCAGTTAAACCATGATGGAAGGTAAACGAGAGCGTGCTGGGGGCCGGGCATCAGAAAGAAACTCCCTGCCATTCTCGTCTTGTCGTTGACCACACAACAAAGATTACGAGGACACCTAAGCCCTCCTTTTGAGTTGTGAATGCGAAAGCATTAATGTTTAACTGAATGCCGCTGAGTGCTCCTCGCTGGTGTCTGCTGCGCCGCTAAGTAAGGCAGCGGCGGGAGTGCAAAGCTCAACACGGCGCATGCTGAAATCACTTGTCCTCTCATCATCATCATCGCCTTAGCTGCGGGTATTGGTTGACCACGTTGGACCTTAAAGCGTAACGTTAAGCCTAATGTCAGGTCAGCACCTACCCGCGTCCCCCCCTCACGCCAAACAGTTGCGTGTACTGGTTGATGACGTTAGACCTCAAAGCATAACGATAGGCCTAACGTTAGGCTTAATGACAGGCCAGCACCAACGTTACTAAAACACTCAGTTGGGAAACTCCCATAGAGACAGCTTTCAAAAAGTGACCCCAATCTGTCTTCGAGCACCGAGCTAATGACGAACACAACGCCACCATTTCTCCCGCAGCGGCCTCTTGAAGAACTGCACGTGACTTCTATTTTGGCTTAAGAACAGATACAGCGGACAGCGGTAGAGGCTACAGGGGTGCCACCCCCGTCTCCCCGGCAGACGCGCCGCGTTCAACTACTGACGTTAAGATGCACCTAGGTCAGGACGTGCTACCTGAAAGGCCCGCTGAGGCATGGTTGTAAAAAAACAATATTAATTGTGCCGCAAAACCCTGCAAACTAAAAATTTTAAAAACATAACGCTCCCCTCTTTTTGTACTAATCTCCAATAAATTTCATACAAAAAGGGTCTCTTCCGTTTGTTTTACGCAAAAACAGGGTTTCAAAAAGCTCAAGGTGACCACAGTACAGACAAACGATAAAGAGTGGCGCTGTTGTCGCATTTAGCTCGGTCTCGGTGGATGCCAGCGGCCCAGGTTTTGACAACGAGTTTCCCAACTGAGTGTTTTAGTAACGTTGCCAGCACATACACACGTCCCCCTCTCCCGCTGTGCTCCTAGTGCAGTTCGGCTGACTCCTTAGCAACGATGACGCCGCTGCTATGGAGCCACATGACCTGTCGCAGCCAATGGGAATTTAGGTGCTGTTTCGCTCATCCAATAGGAATTTAGGTGCTGTTTTTCGCCAACACTTCCCCCTGAAAGATTGGCCATCTTGTTTTTTTGGGCCGAATATTCATAACATCAAAATATGCCTGCACTCGAGAGACCCGCTGCGAAGAAACGTGTTCGCAGAGGGTCTCTCACATTTATGACGCCGTGACACACCAACCTGCTACGTCCGCGATCTGCGGCATCTGTTTCTGTGATATGCAAATTCAAAACTCGTTCCAGCATTTTTTTTTTTTTTTTTGCCCACGACGTGCGTGCGCAATTTTGGTTCCTGTGTTGCGCAAGTTTGTAGCAGTTTCCTGCATGTTTATCGCACTGTGAGACGTGAATCTGCTGTGTCCGCAATCTGTGGTATCCATTCCCGTGATGGAAGAGGTCGTAGCAAATTCCCGTGTGTTTATCGCACCGTGGAACGCGTGAATTTGCCATCTCGTTTCACGTGGTTATTGTAGCTATCGGTCTCCCCTCCTCCCCTCACTGCCCCACACCCCAATTTGGTGTTCATCTCTAGCTTTCTATAAACTTTTGCTCTCGCATCCCAGACCACCTGTCCCATATTTTTCACCAATTATCTCCTTCAATTTGAAGGGCGTTCTTCCAGGATTTCATGGTAGTCACTCTGACGTTGCTGATATCTAAATATACGACACCTGTTGTGTGTAACGGAGTTACTGGCAGGTCTGGTTTACCGCAAGTAATTCGTATGACGAGTCCAAACAACTGACCAGCTTGGAGTCGTCGAGAGGCTCGTCCTGTCTGCTGGCGGCATCCTTGATGACGGCCATCTTCTGCTCGAGGTTCCGCTTTACCTGCACGTCCTCCTCCTGCTGACGAATGTGAAGCTCTTGAAGTCGTTCCTGCAAGAACAAACACGCCGCAACGTCTTGAAACCACATTTTTTGATAAGTTCCTTTTCTTGTAACGTCAATCTTGAAGGCATACCATTCTCTTGCCGGTCACCTCAATGTTCTTTTCACCTTTTTTAGTAATGTCGAGACATCTTGTATTTCTACAAGTTTTTTTCCACTAACCTTAGAACATTTCTCTCAATACCATCTGTCTTGTTTTCTTGCAAGTTTTGTTTTTTCATGTATCAATGTCTCTTAGTGTTAAGGTGCCCCATTTAGTTTGTGCTTATCTAGAGCTCTCCAACAATGCCCCTTACTCGTGCAAAACAGAACGGATGCACAACTCACCCTGAACTTTTGTTCGGCAATCTCCCGAGCCTTCTTGGGGTTCATCTGCTTTTTCAGCATGGCTTCTTCCTGCTCCCTCAGACGCAGGGCTTCCAACATGTGCTGGTGCTGAAGAAATGCATACCATATGCAGCTAAGAAGACAGCTTCACATGTCAGTAACACATAGAAGTTTCAGCATGGTTGTGGAATCCACGTGTGTCTGTTTGAGAATTACTGCTACTGACAGTTTGAGAACAGTGGGACCATGGCTGAACATTTTGCCTCATAGTTGACTTTCAGCTTAACTACTTAGTATGTTTAGTTAATATATTAACTTCAGACTAGATGTACTACATACCAGCAAAATTAACAATTCACAGACAGCAACAACTTCCAATACGTCAATTGTGTTATGCGTAAGATAATAGAGAAATCTGATGCGTTATCCACTTCTACGTAATATTATATACTACCTATGTAACTTCTACCACATGTTGAGTTCAGTCGACGTCCTCTAGCTGGTTATTCCCATTAGTTTTGCTTTTAATGTGTCACAAACTAAATCAGGCTCTAAAGAAATGTTCAAATTTTCCACACTGCTTTTTCTTTTGATCTCACATGCAGACATGTATGATAACATGTTATCACGGATGTGTGAAACACTATGTGCATCAAACTTCTTTGTATGAATAGCAATTTTCAGGGATCTGTGTTATATGTCATCACGCTAGCTGCCAAAATTTGCAGTACTTTTTAATCTGTTCTTACACTGTCAGTTGTTGTAATAGAGGTATAACAAAGTCTATATAAGATGGAACAAGTAATACAAGTTCATATAAGGTATAACTGAGTAATACAAGTTCACATAAGGTGCGACAGAGCACTAATACAAGTCCATGTAAGGAAAGACCTTCCAGTAACACAAAGGGACAGGGGGGCACACACCTCGACCTTCATCCTTTGGAAGTTCTTCTGGGCGATTACCCTCTTGACAAACGCCTGGATCTTGATGACGGCGGCGAGTTTCTTCTGGTACTCTCGGCGCACCACAAAGCCTCTGCATCGAGCCTGGAACAGTTCACGCCGTCAATGATCATGCCGTCTCTGTCTGGGGTAAGCTAGGAACTGAACAAACAAACAAATAATATTGTGACATACCTGCAGAGCCACAATGTGGCCTCGGAGGTGTTTGAAGCGGTGCGACAGGATTCGAGAGCGGATGAGTGCTTGCAGGCGCTGGTACCCTGTCCGCATCTGGAGCAAAACAAGGGTCCCCTGTTTGTGCCTCAAGCTTTGACATTGCCTGCCGCAGCTCAGATTGGGCAAACGTCACAGTAGGCGTCATACAACATCGAGCTGCATTCATTAGCTTTTTTTGTTATTTTAAACAAGAGGATCAGTACAAGTTTTACCACTAACAATTCCAGAAGATTTAAAACAGATGAAACCCTTTCGTAATTTTTAATTGATAAAGTTGGAATTTCACGCTTCAGATATAGCAACAAACACTGCAAGGCAGACTTGTCGTAAAAAAGGGATCCGTACAAAATGGTCTCAATTAAAATGATCCCGGCCAAAATGGTCCCGAACAAAATGGTCCCGGTCAAAATGACCCCTAACAAAATGGTCCCAAGTGCAAACCCAGACAAAATGGTCCCAAGCTAATTTTGAGACAAAGTTTGCTTGTTCTTCGGAGGTTACTTGATTGTTTGATCTTGCTGAAAATTGGATATACAGTTAAACCTCGATGTAACGAAGCCGGTAAAATTCACAATTTACTTCGTTACATTGAAATTTCGCTAAATCGAAATTTGGCTTTAGCATGCAAAAAAAATTCCGAAACTTTTTACGGATATGAAAACTCACCGAAAATGACATTTATTTAAGGGGCAAAGTAGTCCGCGAGTTTCGCTTGCGCCTTTGCTTTATGCAAAGGCGCAAGCGAAACTCGCTGTATGAACGCTGTATGACGCCGCTTGCGCAGCGGCGTCATACAGCGTTCAAGCGCCCAGAGCGCTTGCACGGCATCTTGCTGCCCATGCGACGCCGTGTACCTCCTCAGTACGTCCATTGCGTCGAGCACTTCCCGAGTGCTCGTGATCTCGGCAGTTTCTTCAGGATGGCGTCCATAACGTTTGCTTTCTCGTCCAAAGAAAGAACTTTACGTTTCCCTATGGCAGCAAGCACGTGAGTGAACCGCCCGGTTGAAAAATAAAGCTGTTTAGGCGGTGCCAATGTTTCCAACCTACACAGCACTCTTGCCCGCTCAGTTTACCTGCCCCCTTGCGCCCACAGTGTGCTTGCGCCTTTGCTTTACATCACGCTCGCAAGACGATAATCGGTCTTCTCGGTCTTCTTTTAGATGGCACTGCCCGTGCGGTCGTGCCATTACGTCGCTCCCCCGCTGAAGTTGGCTCCCGCGCTAACCATGGTACAGTGGACTATGATGATCAGTGAATGTCAGTGGTGATGCTGTTATGCCGTGTTAACTTTTTGCTCGGCATTTTTTGGCCAGCCCCGCGGAATGCGCTTTGCCGCATGCCTCGCCGGCGCTACCGGCGCCGCATCCTTGGGCAGCCTAGGAACGTTGGAAGGCCTGTCCCCGTGAAGTAACCTATCAAGCGCTCGCTTTTGCGCATAATTTTTTTTTAACCACAATTTTTTTGCGAAGTTTTTTTTTTAGAGTCTATTTATTTATTGCCTTCTATGGCAATGGCGCTTCGTTGTATTGAAATAGCAGCAAAATAGACTTCGTTATATAGAGACTAAAAATACATGGGGTCTATGGGCAAGAAATTATGAAAAATAAAATACTTCGCTAAATCGAGGATTTCGTTACATTGAAGTTCGTTATATCGAGGTTCGACTGTACTCGAAATTTAAAGTTTACATATTGCCACGAACATCGCTGAGGAAGTGCGTGCATAACCAAATGGTTACCGTGCTTGGCTGTCGCTTTGAAGATCTGGGTTCAATTAAAGGCAGCGGAATGTTCTTTATTTATTCTTTCTACTTGAGTTCTCGCAAATTTGAGAACTTTCTTGTCTGATCGAGTTACGAATGTTCCACGCGCCGAACATTCTAGGCCGAATGTTCCAAAGACCCTTGCGGCTACAAAAGGTGCTCCACGTAGCAAACCGCAGTCAGTCTTGCGCCAGCATTCGATCCTGCTTTTACGCCGCCATCGACGCCCGCGACGCTCTATTGTTATCTTCTGATTCCTTTTTATTTTCGGGACAAGTTCGCCCCATTAAACATTTAGTTTGTTTCAGTTTTCGTCGCCTCATCATTTGTCATTCGTCAAAATATTCATTAAAAACACATTGCATGCCTGTAGCTGAGCCAAGATGAAGGGAAAAGTATACAATAGATATAATGCACAAGTACATATATCAAATGAAAACTAAAATATTTGATATAATCAACACAAGAAGAAAGACTTTTCATAACACACACATACACACACACACACATTTGACGTTCGGGTTTATAAAGTGTAACCTCGGTCTGCCTGTGAGGAACGACGACACTGGCTTACACCGTAGTCAAGAAATTTTTGCCAGTGCTGTACCACTGCTAGCATGGGGTCTTTAACGTGCATCACGCACTGCACGCACACCATCACAAGTACGTAGTATAAGCATGATTATGTCTGAATCATCACATGCATACATATTCTTGCAGCGTCATTGCAATAATTTGAAATAATAAAAATAGTGTTGGATTTTCTTAAATTTTCTTCCCGCACCTATAACTAAAGTCACCATGCAGACGACGCTCCGAGCTGATAGGACCAATCAAGCAGTGCTGAAAACAAAACACACTAACGGTGTTCAACAACTTTTTTGTGCATTTTATTACTGGCCAGTCTAATCGATCGCAGAGTGCATGGCGACCTTGCACTTTTAGTGTGCATGTGTGTATTTGCGTAGTGACTTCTAAGCTCGAGCTTTGTGTAGTGCTTTGACTTTTGCGAATACGAGCCATAGAGTTAAGTGAGCGATAATTAAACTTAATTTAACTTTTGGACTTCTTTAGTTGTTTCCTCAGATACATACCAAAAAAACTTAAATAAATTCCAATATACATTACATGTGTGTTGAATAAAGCTTCAGAGTAACAGTTCACTAAAACTTCAAAGAGCACCCAAAGTGTCAACAAATCACTTGGGACCATTTTGTCCGGGTTTACGCTTGGGACCATTCTGTCCAGGGCCATATTGACCAGGATCATTTTGTCTGGGGCCATTTTGTCCAGAGTATTTTGACCGGGACCATTTTGTCCTACACCCCATAAAAAAGCCAGCCATGTGTTTACGGAAGACAACAACTGAATTATTTAAAACTCTTTTAAGCTACAAAGCTCTAAATGCGGAAATGGATGTGCAGGCAATGCCATTGTATAAAATTTTACAATTTTCCAAAAACTGAAGCCAAATAAAAAATAAAAAAAAAACGCACCGCCACAAAGCGTTTGCGTTGGAGGTATGTCCGGAAGCAGCGCTGGATGACAACAGCACTCTTGCGCATCTTGAGAAAGCGTCGCCGGTAGTACCAGCCCCTGATTGCCTTTTGCAGGATCAGGATCTTCCTGGTGAGCACCCTGTCTCGCTCTTGCTCCAAGAACAGGTCGTGAGCATCCTGAAACCATTTCACAGCACAAGGTCAGAGCCAGACACACCACGCTCGGCCCTTTAAGAGGTCCAGTTCAAGCAGCATCGAGAACATCGACACAGATGCAAATGTTGGGAAGTGCTAGAGGTTATGTCTAGAACTTTTGCATCTGGTTGGGAATGAGACACCATGCATGTGCAGAGATTGTCAAGTCACAACTTGCAGGGTCAGCTTCAAACCAGAAAGAATGATCACTGCAATCAGGTTGAATTTGAGTGCCAACTTCGACAGTGGATTTACAAACAAAATAGCAATTTATTAATGAGTACATTTACGAGCATAAGTGAATTGACCTTGCCTGCAATACACAGAATGCAGGCACTACACCTACTACTGATCAGAGGTATATCTAGGCCCCATGCATTATAGTACTTGTCACCTCTCACTACAATCACTATGCCACATTGGGCAGTGGGCACAATACAACCTCACTTGCCCATAGAGCTGCTTTATCTGTGTCCTGTCTCATCTGCAAGTGATGAAAGCATGCAATAAAACATGAGTGCACACCCACACATTTCTAATTCATACAATATATATTTGCAGATAAGAAAAGCTGCTTTAGATCCCAACAGTCAGTGAAACAGTTGAATTTAATTTTCTGCCAGTATCTCAAGCCAAAATGCTGCATTCAGATGTAGGGCTAAGCAAATATTCAAATTTTCAAATAGTAGTTTCGAATAATATGCTATTTCATATTCGCTTAGAGATGAACTGCGACGTTCATATTTTTTTATGTGTTGATCGCAGGTGCGTTAGCCCCGCTGAGCGCACTTCTTACTGAGCATGGCTGCACTGTGGAGAAGCAACACCCGTGGAAGCAAGCTACGCAGGTGTTGTTTCTACGCAGTTGCAGTCACGTGCTGAGGAGCAAAGTCCACTTTCAAAGCGGGATGGTGCGTGTGCGCACCTGGTATATTTAAAAAGAAACGAACTTTGTGAATGTTGATATTTACAATACAGTAAAACTTGCAAAATTAAACTGTGGCTATTATGCAAGAGCATAGGTATGCTAGGCAGAGATTTTCTGACAACCTGCTTTCATCATTAAAGATGGTACTCTTTTCCTCTTCTCAAGTTCCAGACTTAAGGAAGGATATTTGCATATGGTAAGATATATAAATCCACTGATTAGGTATAGGAGGGCATTTCTATACATTCAATTTTATATAAAATATGTCATTTACTTGTCATCCCAATGTAGGCCTTGAACTTCCTAAGACCACTGTTCATGGATATTAGTTAGATTAAGATTAAGTTAGCTTAGAAGTGGACAGGTGGAAGCTTGGGAACAACCTTCACGAATTAAGCTGGGATTTTGTTTAAGCATGGTGCACTAGTGAAAGGCTTGGAGAAACTATCCAATATTCAATTAAAAAATATTCGACCAAAACCACTATTCGCTTTGAACTTAAAATCCACTATTCGCACATGACTACGTATTCAGGTGCTCAGAATCTTGGTGCAAATCATATTTTTTCAACACCAATAATATCAGTGCCTCATTATTTGCTAGTCTCCTTCCAAAATTGTAATGACTATGCCTCATGTGCTTTTCAGGAAACACTATGCACAAATCTTGTTCATACAAAAAAGTAGACATTTTTTTGGTACTCCAGAGTTTTTTTAACTATAGGTTCTCAAGTACCCAGCAATGCTCCAGACAACCATTAGTGCCTTTTTGAGCTTCCAACTCCTTTCGACTGTCCCTTCATAAAGTTGCGAACTAGCACGGCTGCGAATCGGCACGGCTGTAAATCACCATTGTTGCGAACTGGCATGCTTGCGAACAGGCACAGCTATGAACTTGTTTATCAAAGGGGCAGCATGGCCCATTAACTGAACAAGATGCCTTACCTTGAGGAACACCTTAGTCTTCCCCATCTGGAAGTCTGCCTTGCCCAGGACGGCGGCCGTGATACGGGCCGTGGCGGCACGGCAGTCCACCTTGTGCACGGGACCCACGCCGGGGATGAGGAAGCGGTAGCGCTCCACAAACTCCCGGAACGTGTGCCGGATCGGGTAGCCCGCCCTCCGGATGCGAATCGTCTCCATCATGCCAGAGTAACGCAGCTGCTTGCAGCATAGCTCCCGGTCAAACATCTGCGCGGGGGATTTCAAGCGGTTCATTGTAGTGGCTGTCGATACATTCCAGACAAGAGAACGAACTGGAAGGTCGGTCCTGATCGGATCACCAAATTCCCTGCCTCTTACAAGTATGTCCTCACTAAGTTTTGGAAGAACTAGCTGTGTTACAACCAACCAACCGACCAACCCCCAACCCCTCCCCCCCATTTCACATGCAATGTTACATCCCTCCAATCGGCAATCACAATGGTGATAATGGGTCATATTTTTTAATGATGACTGTATTTTTTATTCGGACACATTTAGAAGCATCCAATACACTATTTGCATGATTTTGAATGACTGATAAAAATTGACATTTTTAGTTATAAAACAGAGGAAAGGAAATTTGTGTGTGGGCATCAAATTCAGGTCTCAATTTGAATACTTCTCCAACCCTGGTTGCTCTGTGGCAGAATTTCCTAAAAGTCACAGGTATTTTTGTTTTTTTTTTAATTTGTGAACTCTACAAGATACCTATACTATAAAAGAAAAATTAAAAAAAAAGTAATGCCACAGGATATGTGCACCTCCTCATGTAACTACTAAGAGAATTTTGTAGCACTAATCTAACTGTTTTTCATCTATTGCAATGAATGTCACCAATTGATTTTCACAAAATGTTTATGAGGGTGGCTATAAACACCAGTATATGATACAAACAAAATTGTAACTTGTAGGGTTTAATTCGAGAACTCCAAAAATAGCTAACGAGGGTGTGCTGCATACATTTTATCGACAAGGTTTCACAAGTTTTTATGGAAACAAACTGTTAGTGGCCATCTGCACTACAAATTGCAATTCCAAAATCATGTTGATTGAAGGACAAAAGGGGTTCAAATATCACAGATGAAAGGCTATCTACAGAGTGAACCGCAAGTTAACATTACTCTGCTAGAAGGACAACTGAGTTGCGGATGACTTGAAGGAGCTACATCTAATAGTAGATGTAAGGCTAATTATTAACTTTAGAGAAAAGGCTAGGTTTACCATGGGTTTCTTGTTCTCATTGGGCTTGATGCATCTGATGAAGAAAGGGTGGCACTGACTCAGTGCCTTCATCAACGAATCCAAGGACCTCTTGAACTGGGCGCTCAGGGTGGGTGTCTTCTTGCGAGTGTCTGTTCCCTGGGGACGAAGAAATGGGACAACAGCCGTGCCCTGTTCCATGAGCCTCTTTTATACATAGATTCTGCTTGCAAATAGCAACTTATTAGATTTCAGTGCTGTTGCTATTATTTCAAGCCAGTATTGACCGATTTCATGAAATATTTTCTGCCCGTATGAATGCTATAAAACTGCCCCACCTGATGGAAACAATTAAAACATACACCTCAAAATCGGCCCGTTTTTTTTTTTTTTTTTTTTCATCCATTAGTTTTACAACTATAAAATTTTCCTCTTGGAAAATCAATTTCGTGTTCACACACTATTACAAAAAGTTGTACCTCTGCCGTAAAATACCGAGCATCCGCTTATTCCACAATAAGTGCCCACCCCTCGATTTTGTAACATTCGGAAAATACAAAGAAGACATATCTTTACATAGTGTTGACCCAGTTTTACAGGATTGTCTCTGAATTTTGCGTGGACACTCGCTAGGATTTTATGGTAATTGAATGCACTTAACAACATTAAATATGCACTTAACAACATTAAATATATTGTTAAGGTGGGCGGTGTGAGCTTGCTTTGATAGTGTGCATTTAAATGATAACGCCCAACTTAACCAAGACTAACCAAGTACATACCGCATATGACATGTAGGAGACACACAAATTCATATTGTATACTATACATATTTTATATATTTTCTATACATTATGTTCTAGGCGTGCCATCCAAAAATCTCGAAACAAAGTGATGTCTCGGTAAAATATGGGCAGACCGCGACCACAAGTCACCAATTCAAACTACCCAGTTTCTTAAACCTTGTGCACCTCTGAAAGCATAAGGCTGACCCGAAAATTCAGCACCCTGGTGGCAACTCGATGCAAACCAGACTGCTACAGCACTAAACAGGCACACCAACGATTCACTGACACAGCCTCGATAAACTAGACCAGCAATTTGCTGATGCAGCCTTGACAAACTCAATCAGCAGTTCACTGATGCAGCCTGGACAAACTCAACCAACAATCCGCTTACACAATCTCAATGAACTCAACCAGCAATTTTCTGATACGGCCTTGACAAACTCAACCAGCAACTCACTGACATAGCCTTGACAAACTCGCCACTCACCATGCCAATGTCATTGACAAACAGGTTCTGCAGAAACTTGTTGTTGCTGACTTGAATGAGCTGAATGAGGTCGGCGCTGAAGGTGTCCCTGTTCTTTTCCAGGAAGCCCCTGGCGTCGTAGAACACCACCCCAGCAAAGTGGCTCAGCCCAAAGGCCGTATTGATGTCAGACTTGGGCTTCAAGTAGTTCTTGTTGGTGCCGTGGGTCTTGTGGAGCTTGTTCAGGAGCGTCTGGTCGGTGCCCTGAGGGAAGAAGCGTCAAGACGCTGCTCATGAAAACTTGTTCCATTGACGAGGCAGCAAGTTTTGACGCTCACTCCAATCCTTTGCAATTCCTCAGTTTGTTACGACAGTGCAACCACAATCTAGCGTTTTCTTTTGTAATGCTATTGTCAGTTAGCTCCAACGAGGCACCGGCTGCAATTTGGAGTCAGTTCACCCATACAGCACAGTGTTAGCTCAGTGTCAAATCAACACCAGAAACAGCACTGATCCAGTGCTTGAACGTAACTTAGTACTGAAGCAGCGCGAAGTCACAATTGTCTTTGTGTTGTACGCATGCAGATATAGCACAAAGTCGGCACAGCATCAGTGTAAGGTCAGCGCTACTTCTAAAGCTGACTAATAGCGCTAAAGTAGCACTGCGCTGCGTGAACAGGCCTTTACATGACAAATTGGGATCACATATGGACACACACAAACCCTGCTCTCATAACACTACTTTTGATGGCAGCCCTTTTGCCACGCGAAAAAAATGGTAAATCTGGCAGCCGTGTTCACGGTAAACTGAACCGTGGCATATTTTACACGTGTATATGCCATAGCACACAGGTCCGGCCTTACACAATCAAGTGACCTGGGCAAACTCCAACCGTGGTGGCCTCCCCCCCCCCTTACCCCCTCCCTCCCTTTTAATACACCCATATCAACTAGGTACCGATATCACATTGTTAGTAATCATGTGAGTAGTGGCCCAACAGGTGCGTTTTGTCCGCCGAAAGCCACGTTCCAAAAACGAATGACGAGTGAGCACATAGCGTCGTGACGGGTGCTGTGCTCAAATAAATAAAAAAGCTAAAAAAATAAATAAAATTCAATAGGAGGGCGCGGTGGAGTTCTCTTATTGGTGGTGCCCTGTGCGACTGCCCAAATTGCCCACCCCTAGGCCGGTACTGCATATACATATCCATACAGTTTGCACCACCGCCCCCTCTCACAAACTACATAATTGGTGCAAGCTACAAAGTGTCGCAATTAAGTCATAGAGCTCTGAGCCAATGGCAGCGTCTGCTGACCTTGGGGAACTTGCTCTCCTCGTCGATGAGGGCCATGATGTTCATGGGCTTGACGGCGATCAGGTCGAGGCAGTCCTGGTTGTCCACAAACTCAATGTGCTGCCAGTTGATGCACTCCAGATTGTACTCCTCCTGCTCCAGCTTGAAGATGTGCCGCACAAAGAACTGCTGCAGGTTCTCGTTGGCGTAGTTGATGCAGAACTGCTCAAAGCTGCGCTCGGAACAAAAATGCCATGGAACGTACAGAAGAGAGGAAGGAAGCACCGTACGAGCAACATGTTGAGTGAGCCTTATTTGCGTAAACTACTGTTTTGGTAATGAATGCTCATGAACAAACTCCTGGGGAGACACTGGCCAGAAAATGTGGCCATGTCTTACAGGGCAAAGAAGGGCTTGGTAAAGATTGAGAATGTGAGCCAAGCTTAGTGGCACCATATGCACAGTCATTTATTTGAATTCAATGTGAAGATGGGCCAAAGCAAACTGAAAGTCACACCCTTTCTGCCTGGACAGTAAAACTTTGTGCGGTGGGACTTCACTCTTCTCTTCTTCAAAATTTGCCAAATTGGATATTGATTCGATTAAATTCGTAGTGTGCTAACCATAAAACATACAATTGTGGAAAACCGAGAAACCTATACGAGTATCTGATTCGTGCTGTTCTATGGACAAGCATGGTGGCTCCTCATGAATGCATATGCCTAACTATTAACGCAACAGCCGAAAGGAGCCAAGATCACAATCTTTCTACGCTCCCCCAATCCACTCCTTTTAAATAATTTTATAAATTTAATTGGTGGAGCACCTTGAAAAGGCTGTCACATTCATAATTTCTACTTCAAATTATTGTAAGCTCCGCCGACAAAAGTTTCTTGCAACCCATTACAGATCAACCTAAAATGGTGCCCTCACCTGTTCACCATGAAGTTCTCAAAACCGAAGATGTCGAGCACTCCAATGGAGGTTCGGTAGTGGCCCGCGGCTGACTTGGGCTTGTAGATGGCCGAGTTGATCTTGTTGACGATCCAGACAAACATGCGGCCGTAGATGCCCTTCACAAAGGCGTCCCGCACGTCCTTGGACTGGTCCACGCTCATGGTCGACACCACCGTGTCCCCGTGCGCAAAGATGGTTCGCGTCGAGAGGGCATCGATTAGGTGCTGTTGGTTCACCTGTCGACACAGAGGACAACCTCGTTCAAGGTTTCTCTAGGCTTTTGCGACTCCTAGTATTACATTCTCATCGTTCATGTTGCCACAACGCTTCGACACATATTCAATGGCTTGTTAAATCCGGAAATCACACATCTTAATGGCAGCCATTGCTTATGCGGAGGGCAAGTTCGTCTGCTTCTTGTGCAGAAATTGCGATGACGTCAGAACACCGAGCTCTGATTGGCTCACTGGAAGAATAGTGGGTAGGCCTGAAGGCAGCTAGCATTGAGATCTACCCACTATCCTTCCAATCAATGCCAATCAGAACTCGGCATCCTGACGTCACCGCAACCCCTGTGCAAAAACCAGACGAACTTGCACTCCACATAGGTCATGTGCACAATTCCTGCCAGCTATCATCGTCATGCCATTCGGTGGTGCCATATTGGAGGGTTTTTGCCATCTTCCATCTGTGGATCTGCATTCAACTAGATTTTCATGATATTAGGAAAATGCATTGGTACATTCAATGGGCTACTATTTAGCTTTGGTGTAACGAAGAAAAGAAAGATGGCCACGAAAGTGTAGAAAAGGAATTGTCAGCAAAAAGGTCACAAGAATTATCACTGAAGCAATGAACTGGCCCGACCAGGTAAGTAAATGGACTTTATCAAAGATGCTTCTTGAAGGGTTCGGACTGGGCTGGCAATGTGTGATCATATTTTAGATCTACGACTGCCACTTTGCCGCGACCAATGTCCCTCAGGCAAAAATATCGGTACGGGAACCACCTTAATATGGCGGAAACTTGATAGCTGATCGTAAGTACACTACATGGCGCTTCTTTTTGCATATGGTATATGTATTACATTGTGCCAGGGAGCACTCGCGTGGGACATCAAATTAGGCGGTAAATCACAGTGTGTGACAGTACCATGTCTACAGTAAAAAAGTGCCAGTCCTGCATTTTGGGATAACTGTGTCAAAGTGTGCGTGCTTGCAGCACAAGCTTTTTGAATTGGAATGACTACTGTCGGTCGAAAAGGTAGCGTTTTCAAAACTAGTCACGTGATCAGAGCTGGTCCAGCAAAAAAGATAGGGCATGATAGTGCATCTGGGAAGAGGAATGTAAAAAGAAAACAGTAGAAAGGTCAGAAAACGGCAGTGTTCTTTTTTCTTGACAAAAACAAATGAAGAGCTTAGCAGAGATTCAAGATGCTTTGCACAAGTGCCTCATAGGCCTACCTCTTACATTGTAATCAAGACACACCAAACAGAAGTTGCACTCCCAAATAATTTTACGTGTAACGCACTCACCTCCAAGATTTTGGCTGCATTCTGTACACTGCCGGCACTGACAATCTCAACAGCGTCAAGGTTGTCGATCATGGTAGCTGCAGAAAAGGCAAATGAGTAGAGTCATTCCAAATTGCAAGTGCTAAAGACTCTTCCTAGTTACAAACGAGTTAAAGTCAGTCATTCTTGCCCCTTACGTTTGTACTTGATGTTGCCCAAATGGAGTACAATGGCCAAGATCTTCAGGATGTCCCATATCTCATGGTCAGAGAACATGAGCACCTTCATTGCGGATCTAATGTCCGCAAACTCTGCCGCGTCATCCCTGCCTTCACACGTAATGCTTCCTCCCTTGAACAAAAAGAAAGTAGCATAAAAATAACATTCTACAAATATTGCAGAATTATTGACAACAAAAGTCCTACACTGGCAAAGAGAAACCAAAGCTATACTGCATTTCGTAGGTTGCTTGGATGTAAACAAAATAAAGAAAGTTTCTCGTGCTGTCATGTCTGCCAATCAGAATGTGTATGGTGCAGTTAAACCGAAGATGATGAATCATTAAAAAGCTAAGGAAATTCAGAAGACAGGAAGATAACCAGGAAACACCACATTGTGGTTTGAGTAGACTCCTTTATTACGAAGGAACTTGCACAACTCTGCAATTAAATGCTATAATTCAAACATAGATTCGATAACTTCTGTAGCAGTAAGAGGCTCAAGGAATAAGCCAGTGGCACAAGACATTCATCATTGGCTATGATGAGTGTCACCGGCAGGACTGGAATCAACAACCTACCATAATTACAAAAAAGAAACCAATGCACAACCTTTTCCAGTAGAGCTGTCTTTTACATTTTTCTAGGCTACCCTACAGGGAAGCCAGCAAACCAAAGTAGAGAAGTGATCCTCAGGTGAATGGAGGCATTAAAAGGTCAAAGGGTTCACCTGAGTTAAGTAGTGGTACTTGGAAGCATCCTGGATCTCCAGTTTGGCCTTGTCCTCCTTGCTCAACCCCGAGAGCATGCAGTAGAAGATGTGGTAGTTCCTCTCGGAGTGGGCCTGGAAGTTCAAGCAACATGCACAATAACAATTACGACATTTCTGGGTCCCAGTCCAAAAATCATAAACCAGCATCTCAGTCGGCCTTGCGGGAGCGTGAATACCCCAGAAGTTTTCTTGCTGGCCCAAATGTTCTAGTTTGAATATAGTACAGTACAGATCAATGCAACTACTATATGCTTCTTTGGCAGAAGGAAACGAAAAAACCATTGGGTCGGATGCTAGACGCGTTGGCTGAATTTACTTCCCGATTGACATTTTAACCTCAGTCTATTTCCACAAAGTGAAAGTATAGTTTGCCTATAATCTAGACAATATATTTTGTACAGCATTTGTTCCCTGTCATCGAGACTTCTGCTAGACATTGAGACTAGCACTAAGATATTGTCACACTTAAATGAGATCGGTCTTCTCCGATCGTAAAGAGTGGATGTCACTTAGACAGCAGTCATACTCCATTTCACCTTATGATGTAACACAACGAAGGCTACGAATCACCGAGCCACCGGAGTCAATCGATAGCTCGGAGGTGTTGCATGACGTTTTGGTCGGGCGGAGCAATGCACAGAACACGAAGCCACAAGGCATGTGTAGAACACTGCATTGACTAACATAGCTTGTAGCGATCGTTCCGGTACATCGCAAGGTGAAACGGAGTAATGGCAGATAGAATTGTCTTAGAAAACAACCCACACCCTGTGCCCACACTATGAAAGTATTGCAAATGGAAGATACCAGAAAGAATCAACTTCCTACACTAGGGTCCAATGGGAGCAAACTTGCCTGACTGACGATCCGAGATTTTTCCAGCAGGTACTGCTCAATCTTGGCTCCCTCAATGACACCCTGCTTGTTGAAATGGATATCGATGTACTTGCCGAACCTACTCGAGTTGTCGTTGCGGATCGTTTTGGCATTTCCAAATGCTGTGGTGACAAGAGAGAGCAAAATAAACCAACGACGTTAAAGGGTTTGCCGGTACCTTAGGAGTAGTCATCGACACAAGGAAAATGGCTAGAATCGGGCATGCAGCACAAACATATTTCCAGATCCCGGTGGTGGTGCTTGCAGGCTTGATGGCTGAAAGCTATGGAGGCCATAGTGGGCCAGACTAGACAAGACAGCCAAGCTATTTCCTACATCACACCAAATACACCTGCCAGATGCAATAGCCAATAGTATAGTACTAAAATGTAAATGTAAAGTTCAATGGCACATAGATACCTTAGTTGTCAGAGGTGTTGAGGATAACACAAAACACTTATTAAGAGAAATGTAAAAGTATACTGAGAAATACTGCATAACATAAACTTTTATCTGTGCAAGAAAGAGCCCTTTGTTTTTCTAATTAATGTCAAAGTTGGATAGAGCAAATGAATCATGCATAAATTTGGCTCAAACGAATGGCATTTTGTGTTTTGACAGAAGTACCTATCTTCCGATTTTGGGAGAGCAGTTGCTTAGTGTCTTATAGCAGCTTAAAACTTCAAGGCAACTCCAGCATTATGAAAACAGCGCAAAATACATGAAGGACAAGAACGAGAAGTGAACAAACACAACTTCAGTACTTTCTTCATGCTTGTACCCATCTGAAAAGGTATTCAAGCCTATTAAATTCAGAGATCTTTTAAAAATGTACAGAGGAAAAGTTTATCAATCAGGTAGTGTTGTGTGAATATTCGAATTTTCAAATAGTAGTTTCAAATAATAGGCTATTATTCGATATTCGCTTTAAGGTGAACTACGATATTCATACTTCTTGACCTGTTGATCATGGCGGGTTAGACCAGTTGAGTGCGCTTGTCACCGGGCGCCTGTGCGCTGCGAAGAAGCAATACCCCCGGAGCCCGTGAGCTCCGCGGGTATTGCTTCCCCACAGTGCACAGGTACTCGGGGAGAAGTGCACTCAACGGGACTAACCTGCCGCAATTATGCAAGAGTTATGTTAGGCACAACCCCCGTTCATCATGCATGCTTTTTTTTTTTTTTTTTGTCAAATTTGAATTATAAGGAAGAATATTTGCATATAGCAAACAAATTTATGAACCCCTTGATCAGCATAGCTGCAACAAATCTGTCGTTTACATGCCACGGTTCATATGTAGTTATATTAAAATTAAGTGAGCTTTGAAGTGGGGAAGTGGAAGGCAGAGAACAACCTTCGCAAGTTCAGCAGAATTTTTGTTTTAGCATGGTGCATAGTAGTGAAAAGCTTGGAGAAACTATTCAATATTCGATTAAACAAGATTCGGCCAAAACCACTATTCGCTTCAAGCTCAAAATTCACTATTTGCACATGCCTACAATCAGGCATTCAAGCAGGACCCACCTTCCAAGATAGGGTTGGCTTCAAGGATTTGCTGCTCGATCCAGGAGTGCTGTCCGCTTATGGCCGCCAAATACTGTAGGATCAGCTTTGTGCTTTCTGTCTTGCCGGCTCCACTCTCTCCACTACGCAACACAAGTGGAAAATAATGCCATTGTACCATGAAACCATGAATGAAACTTGAAACCATGGATGGAGCTAGCACTTAATGTAGCATGCCACGTGCTTTCATCTGCACAACAAAACAGCTTTGAACCTGAATCAAGACAGAGGAAGCATGTTAAAATATGGAACCTATAAATATTTTAATTAATTGACTTATTTAGCAGAAACATTTGATTCCTTGAAATATTGCAGTTTGTACACTTGTTTAGAAGCTTGCAATAATAAATTTACAATGACACTTCAAGCACTCCAGACAAATTCAAATTCGTGTGTCAAGGTCTGCTTTGCAGCCAACGGTCTAAAACATCGCCCAAATTTAATCTCAACTGTCCCGAAAAAACACAATTTGTAAAAAATGGAGAGAAACAGATGTCTGCCTCTTCCTGGGCCTATGGCCTTAGTTTCACTAATTAGTAATTTCTCTAATTTACAACTAAGGTAGCAACATGCTCATTAAAATTGATCAAGATATACCACTGACAAGGAATAATGTTCTAAATGTTTACAGGTAGCGCGACTCAGCCATTTAACTTCTCCAGAAGACAGCGTCTCATTTTGCTTAATTAAGGCACCATTCTGTCAACCATATACTGAGGAAACTGTAGGAGTGAAGTGTACTCCTTAAGTCTCATTTATGCAGCCCTTGTGCAGGGAAATTCTTTTCCATAACCATAGAAGACTATGCCTTGACATATAGTCAACTATTTCAGAGAGCTCAAAACAAAAAGAAGGTCCCTTCGATTGCGGAGCAGTTAACCAAAATGGTGACAATACATGAGTTCAATGCCACAGTGGACAGAGAGAAAGGTTGAATCAAAGCTGTTCTTATGTTAAGTTGCACAACGATAATACTGTATCTGTCATGTAGGAGGAACAGTTTCCAATTAATTACTTGGAGGCAGTTCCGAGCCTGTAAACAAGGAGGGGGAAGGGCGGACCCACCTGATGATGACGCATTGGTTGATGTGAAACCTCTTCATGTTGGTGTAAGCATTGTCGCCAATGGCAAAGATGTGTGGTGGCAGCTCTCCAATCTTCTTGTCCTTGTAGAGCTTGATTTGCTCCGCAGTGTAGATCGGCAGGATCTGGTACGGGTTCACCGCTACCAGGATCGAGCCCGTGTAAGTCTAAGAAAAAAAAATGAAGGTTCCACTTATCAACTTGCTAACAAAAGCTAAAATGAAAAATCTTTCTTCTTTTCCATAATCGGTTAATTCACTCAAGAGTTGCGATGTTCATAAATTTTCTTCATAGTTCTTTGCAGTCAATTATAGGTTATTCTTCACTAGCAGTGATGTGGTTGGCCTAAGCCGTTTTGGAGTACCTTTCGGCAGGGCCGTACCCAGAAAAAAATTTCGGGGGGGGTTGAAAGTGTCTATTGTCTTATTTTCGCCTATGAATCATGTGCATCGGTGGCATATAATGGAGAGTTACAGCAAACCGGAGAACCGGTCCCGGTTTGGTACCCGGTAGCCGACCGGCGCCACTGCGCGTGCGCAGAGGTGGAGATTAAAATCGACTGGCTGCCAGTGCACCGACCAGGGCCGTACCCAGAAAAAAATTTCGGGGGGGGTCAGAACCCCCTATCCCCCCCCCTGGTTACGGCCCTGCCTTTCGGAGCAGCCAAAACAGTGTTTTGGAGCAGCAAAAGTGGCTTTTGGAGCAGCCAAAGCAGTGTTTCGAAGCAGCAAAAGTGGCTTTTGGAGAAAATATTCTTAGAAAAATAAAAATATTTGTTTTAAGTTCTGGACAAACGAAAGGCACTTTGCTCGCCACAATAAACGCATTATGGCCAAGTTTGACCACCTGGGAATCTTTGAACATGTAACTGAAATGCCAATGACATGACACATTTTGCAATGCTTCAGTTAAATGATACATATACCTAATGTACTCGCTATAGATAAATAAGAACCAAACTGCAAATATTAAAATTTATTTGAAAATGACCAGCTTTGTAGTAAATAATACTGCATTAGGTTCACTAGTTACATATTATAATAAATGGAAGCAGTCTCCGACCGATGAAACACGTAACTACTGCAGTGGAATCCGAAATTGTACTCGTGACAAAGGTGCATTACGACTGGCGAATGCTTTTATTTTTGCGCTTCGAAACTTTTTCCAAGGCTGCTGCAAGCCTCGCTTTGCCTTCGGCTAATAATGAATGCCCACTTCCAATGCCTCCAAAGAGACATAGAGACATTTCACAAGTGTACAGTGCTGTAGGCCTTACCGAGTTATTCCGAAAAACCGCTTGCCACCGTTTTTTTACTGGTTCCCGACGTGCCAGATTTTCGTCAAAAGTAAGCCAACGTAAAACAATGGACTGCAAGCGTCCCGACTGGTGCCTCTGTTGTGCAATCATGTTCGCATGCACATGAGGGCGACTTCGGCAGGCTTGAAGTTGCACATGCTTCGTCGCGCGAGCGGAAATGGCTGTTTGATTGAAACCGAAACCATGCCACTCCGCTCCGTCGTCAACTGATTCCCAAAATTGTATGCAAAATATAACTGTCCAGCATACGACAAAAAACAGTCCAGCGGCATGTGCTTGCCAGGCCGGCAGGCAAGGTACAAGCTAAACACAGAAAAAAAGAACCTGAGCTCATCGATGCAAGACATAACGAGCCAGGGTCAAAAAGTTCTTGGAGTGCTTTGTGCAAGGATTCAACTCGAGACAAGAAGCACGCTGTGTGGGTTCAGCATGCATACATTGCCTTCTTTGCTTCAGCTCACTTCTCTTTCAGGAGCGAGTGCAGCTCACAAAATTACTCCCGCCGTGCAAAAGCGTGGTTTCGTTTCACAGCATGGCAGCATGGCTGGCCTGGTACCCGGCACGCTACCGTCGGAGCGTTCACACACGCCCGCGTCTACCGTTGAATATTTTTTTTAAAAAGACGTGAAACGAGACCCACGGGATGACGAGAGCGCGAAACAAGAGACAGAGGGCAACGTCATGGAAGACCGGATAGAACACTGATGCTGGGTACTTTGTGTCGGGCGGCTGCTTGCGCCACCTAGCTCACGCATGCTCATTACGGTACTCAGTTTAGTTTCGGTTTCGAAAGGCCACAAAAATTGGTCCTTTGGCACAGGCTTGGCACAGATTACCCATATTTTGGCAAAATGTAGCAGGATGTAGCAGGGTTAGCCCCTTGGCACAGTTTGGCGCAGCAATCACACCATCAACATCTTTGATTCCATCGATCTTCAATACAATTTTTTTATATCCTTGTCATGTTAGTAAACACAGCAATCAATTGTTTTCTGATCAAAGTACTCTCAAGGTTTGTTTTTTTGTCGTTACTAGCAAGGTAACTAAATATTTTGAAAATTAAGTTCCAAGAATTTAACTATAGACCTTTGCAAAAAGAGCGCTCTGGCCGCCGCCATTTTGCGAATCGAGCGACCCCTATCAGCCAGATATTTCTGGCACCCGCCTGAGCTGTGGAAACCCGGTCAGCGTGACTCCCCACCTGCATTTTGCATTCGGAGTTCGGCGGCTTTCCTTGCAAGTTTTCATTTATTCGCCTGTTTAGGATGCTTACCCTTTGTATGTTATCTTCCACTGTGAGAACCAGGGAATACCAGGGCTCGTAGCCCGCTCGGCCTTCGCAGGAAACGAACGAAGAGAGCGAACGTCAAGCAGCCCGCGACGCAGGCAGTTCGACGTGCTTGGAGGATTATTTCCGTCGAGATAATCTCCAAAAAGCCTTCCAGGCTGTGTTCCGGGTCTTCGCAAAAACTAGCGGATAGGGTCGGGTCCGGGGTGTGGCGACGGAATAAGCACGTTCGTTCATTTGCTTTGGAGCTGTGCATAAAAGGAGCTCTCTTCTACATGTTCCCCAAAACACGCCGGATTCCGTCCGATCGTCGTGAAGTGACTATCGTCGACACTGTATATTGGATATGCTGTGTTATTTGAGACCTTTCTCAAATCCTGTTCGGATAACGCGGTACCGTGGGATACGTACAATATATTTTTTGTTCGATTGATGAGACTCATTGAATTTTATGTTGTGGGCGGGGAATATCCATGCAGTACGGATATCCTGTGCGGTCAAATATTTTGACCTTTATAGATTGACACGGCTGAGTGTACGGTGCCGTAAAACAATGAACATAAAATGTAACAAACATTCCAGTTGCATTTGTTCTGTCGCGCACGGACTCACCAAAACAGCTTTCATTTCTTTGTTTTTGTTCCCAAAAATAGAGCACTGCTTTCTTAAAGACCTCTATAAATTATAATCGCCACAGAACACAAAATAAAAAAGAAAACGCGGCAATCCAACCGCCACCAGTGTCCGGAATTGCGCCTACGCAGGCTGCTATAGCCCACTGACGAGAAACTCCACAGCTCAGCGCAGTCGGGCAACACTGACGTGCACTCTCAGAACCAGGGACGCGCGCTGTAAATCGCTTCGTTCGAGACTGCCGCTGGAAAGGTCTATACACTGTCATGAAAATTAGAAGCAAAACTGTAATAGAACCACTAGGTATATTTATGATAATGTGATAAAAAATATCAATGATCACTATACATGCTTCCACCTCAAGAAAAAAGGAAGTTTTGCTCATTGTTCATTTGCTGCTTGAAGCAGTTCTTACAGGATTTGGTTGTCAGAGGAAGAAGCGGTGCTTTTGGCATTTGAAACGTGTATATGTCTTGATAAGGTAATCATATATCTAATCTAAAATGCACCTATATATGTCTTAATTATCTACATAAAGGGGTAAATTAGTAATGCTGCGCGAGGAGCCGGACTTGTTTTACTACGGTTCTTGAGGTGAAAACGAGTATAGTACCAGTAATGTTTAGAGGGTTGCTGCTGATAAATTGTTAAGTGCCTTAAGAAATCAAACCTTGGGAGAACCTCAATATAAACTGGGGAGCGTGTCGGTTGTTGGACAAAGATGACAGAAAGAAAAGAAATTTAAGTTGTTGCAAGTAAAAAAAGAAGTGTCCAACAACCCTTTGTCCTAAGTGTGTTATTCTTTCTGTCTTTGGGAGATTTGCAACATGTTTAAAAGCTACAGCAGGTTGACAGATCAGCTTACGTATATGAGGTTCTCGTTGTAGCGAATCAGGAGGTTTCTAAGTATGCCGGCCTCGTGAAGATCTCCTAGCGATATCATGTCCTCCACTCCTTGAATCGACGTCGGGTGCATTGCCTTGATACGCCTCTCTGGCGTGAGCCATTGTTCCTGAAACATTGATGCACACAACAAATTCAAACAAATAGGTTACTACAAGTAAAGGTCTCTGCTCTTCCAATGTAACCTAAGTTTTAAGTTTTAAGGCAAAAGTGATATGCCAACTCTCTGGTACATGATTTGATCAGTCACTCAAAGCTCTTCAAGAATATATACTTGCTTCTGCTGTTAAATTAAAAATAAATCTGATAACAGGTTTTTGATAGGGATGTCGCGAACCTGACGAGGTTCGAGTTCGACCAAGTTCGACTTTTTCAAACTTTCAATGAGATGCTCGACAAAGATTCGACTGAGGTTAGCCTTTTGTGCGCATACGCGAAATTAAAAAAAAAACAGTTGACTCATCCTGGCGGAGGAAAAGTGCAATATTTGTTGCGTGTTTTGGCATCACTGATTCACATTATTAATTAACGAAAGCATTAAAAGTGCATATTTTTGCTTTTATATGGTGTAAACTACTTTCTAAATTATTTGTTTCCCAAAATTCGAAATATATGTGTAGAAGCCAGGCAACGCTGTCCATAAGTCAAACTTCTTCGAACTTTAGTGAAAGTTAGGTTCTTCGACGTCAAAATCAAGGTTAGACAAAAGTTTGTGACACCGTTAGTCTTTGATGTCATGTTCCCCTTTTATATAGCCAAACACAGTAATCTCAAAATGTGCAACGATTTGGTGGGTGAATCACTGTGGCAGCACAGAGACCTCAATGAGCCCCACCTTGCCGTCATCGTCAATGACCTGTATCCTCCTCCCTTCTGCTGAGGCCACTCGGGCCCCGATGGCAACATCAAATTCCCTTTTGGCCTGGGGCTCTATCCAGATGTAGTCTCCCTGAATACAGAAAACAAAAAAAGAAAAATGTCAGTCCTCAGATGCATCAGCCCTTAGGTGCATCAACCCTCAGATGAATTAGCCCTCATGTGCACAGCCCACAGTTGCATCAGCCCTCAGAGCACAGATGTGCATCAGCAATTAGACCATAGATGTATATGAGCCCCCAGATGCATTGGCCTTCAGATGCATGAGTTCTCAATGGATGAGCCCTCAGATGCACGAGCACTCAGATGAGTCCTCAGACATGTTAGCCTTCAGATGCCTGAGCCCTCAATACATGAGCCCTCAATGCATGAGCCCTAAAATTCATGTCCTCAGATGCATGAGCCCCCATATGCATGAGCCCTCAGATGTAAGAGCCCTCATATGCATGAGCCATCAGATGCATGAGCCATCAGATGCATGAGCCCTCAGATGCAAGAGCCCTCAGATGCAAGAGCCCTCAGATGCAAGAGCCCTCAGATGCAAGAGCCCTCAGATGCAAGAGCCCTCAGATGCACGAGCCCTCAGATGCACGAGCCCTCTGGTACATAAGCCCTCTGATAAACAAGCCCTCTGATAAACAAGCCCTCTGATACACAAGCCCTCAGATAAAAAAGCCCTCAGATGCAAAAGCCCTCATATGCATGAGCCCTTAGATGCATGAGCCTTTAGATGCATGAGCCCTTAGATGCATGAGCCTTTAGATGCATGAGTCCTTAGATGCATGAGTCCTTAGATGCAAGAGTACTCAGATGCACACATGAGCCCTCAGATGCACGAGTCCTTAGACGTGTCAGCCCTCAGATGCAAGAGGAAGCTGGGGCTACTGTGTTTTGTTGTGCTGGCTGGGGTGGAGATAACCAATTAATTTTGTTAATTAAATACAAGGGTTTTAATATTTACACTGTCTATACCTCGTTTCAGCTTAAATCCAGAGGCAGCCAATGCTACAAGCGCGAGCATGTGGCCCTGAACAGTGCTTGCACTGCACGAGCGTGCGTGCTTGGCAGGGACACTGAAAGCCCGAAGCTTGTGCTTGTAGCATTGGCTGGATATGGACTTAAGCTGAAAAAAAAAAAATTTGGCTTAAGGTCTTAAGCAAATCAAGCATTTCTTATGATGACAATAAAGCAAAAAGAAGGCATTTCTAGCCGAAGGGGATATTTCCTTTAGATTGATTTTGAAGTTGTCTTGAGGCATCCAATGTATTTACTGCAACATTGGGATATAAGAGGTGTCTCAGCATCTTTTACTCTGAGTTGTCACAAGGAAAAGTACTACCTGGAAATAAAGGTGAAAAGGCTTTTTGGGTAAATGGGGAAGTAAATCAATTGCAACTGGCATACCGCAGATGCTGCAGAAAATAACATGTTTGTTTCTTCTCAAATGACACGGCCTCAAAATAATTTAACGCATGTTGCCTCATTGCAAAGGCTAAACAGATCATTGTGTGAATAACAGGCAGAACATTGGCAAATGAACCTCAACATCTAACATGCACATTGCTGTCCAGAAGAGTGGCAATTAAGGTCAATTATAAAGTTAAATATTACTTTAATTTAATATTTTACTTAGTGAACTATCGTAGTTGTTTTTTGTAACTGGGTAACAACCCGTAGTTGGTGACAGGTTCAAGAGTGAAGGACTACGTGCAAGATCCTCTCACAAAGTCCTCCACTCTTTCCATTTTGGCAGGGCAAACGCTGGAGAGGAGGCAAGGTTACTCGCCCCTCCTCCAGCATTTGCTCTGATAAAGTGGAAAGAGTGGATGGCCTTATGGAAGGAGCTTGTCCTGAGCTCTTAAACTAGTATTTCCATTTAATTGGTATTCTGTCTTCAAATTCCTTGTCTTTTTCCTTCTCAAATAAATTAAATCTAACCATAACATTATACATTCACTGAAGGAAAAAAGGAAGAAAGATGTTTACAGTTCTCTATGATGCCAAATTACAGTGCAGCTCTTGAGGAGGAGGAGGGGAGGGTACGGAGGGGAGGATATGCCTCTCATCCCTCTCCCTACCCTCCCCTCCTCCTCTCCTCCCATTTATCGCGAAATTTTAGCTAAATTTTTCCGCTAAATTTAGCGGGGAAATTGATGTCACGTGGCCTCAACACCAATTTAGTTTCCTGGCTAAATTTAGCGGAAAAATTTTCACTAAATTTCCCCGCTAAATTTAGTGGGAAAATTTCCCTGCTAAATTAAGTGGAAAAGTTTCCCCGCTAACTTTAGCAGAAAAATTCCCCCACTAAATTTAGCGGGAAAATTTCCTCGCTAAATTTAGCAGAAAAAATTTCTAGCTAAATTTAGCGGAAAAATTTTAGCTAAATTTCCCCGCTAAATTTAGCGGAAAAATTTTAGCTAAATTTCCCCGCTAAATTTAGCGGAAAAATTTTAGCTAAATTTCCTCGCTAAATTTAGCGGAAGAAACTTCGCAAAAATTCCCTGCTAAATTTAGCAGGAAAATTTCCCTGTTAAATATAGCAGAAAAATTTTCCCACGAAATTCAGCGTAAAAATTTGCCCGCTAAATTTAGTAAGAAATTTTCCCCAATAAACTTAGTGGGGAAATTTTTCGGCTAATTTTAGCGGAAAAATTTCCCTGCTAAATTTAGTGGGGAAACGTTCCATAATGCAACGCGCGCGGTTACGTTGACGGCGACGCCGAATGGGCGCCCAAGACTGCGCCCTAAGATGCACAAACATATTCTGAGCTGAACAGTTCACACAATGTTCATGTCATATGCACATAATTTCTTCAGCAACCCTCCACGCGTGCCACGTGACTTTAGCGCATCACTCCGCCCAAGATGAAGGTCATCTGACATCCTCCAGGAGACTTGAAGATCATTGTGCGAATAACAGGTATTGCTTAATTAAGGCAGAACATTGGCAAATGAACCTCAACATCTAACACAATTTCATGTACAGCCTCCAGATTTTTTAACAATATTGCGCAAACGCCGACTGGCTGGTAGATCAGCGCCTTGTCGCAGCGTGAAAAAGCAGGTCAACGAGACTATGCGCGTGTGGAAGAAGGCACACGCCTAGCCTCGCTGAGTTGCTGTTTCACGCTGTGACAAGGCGCTGATCTACCAGCCGGTCGGCATTCGTGCGATATTATTAAAAAATCTAGAGGCTGTACATTGCTTTCTAAAAGAAAAGCAACTAAAATCAATTATAAATATTAAATATTACTTCAATTTAATATCTTTGCTTAGTGGACAATCGTAGTTGTGTTTTGTAACTGGATAAATGACCTATAGTCGGTGACAGTGTGAAGTACTACATGCAAGCTTCTTCCACAAAGCCCTCCACTATCTCCCCTTTAGCGGAGTGAACACAGGAGAGGAGGCAAGGGGACTCGCCTCCACTCCAGCGTTTGTACTGTTAAAGTGGAATGAGTGGAGGGCTTTGTGGAGGGAGCTTGTCCTAAGCTCTTAATCTAGTATTTCTATTTAATTGGTTTTCTGTCTTTAAATTCTTTACCTTTTCCCTTCTCAAATAAATTACATAAAACTACAATGTTATACAATCGCTCAAGGGAAGAAAAATTGCACAAACATATTCTGAGCTGAACAGTTAACACAATGTTCATGTCTGAATCATATCATATGCACATAATTTCTTCGACATTAAAGGACTTTAGCTGTGCATCGGCGCCACCATAACTGACCTTCAGTTTTATTTTCCTCTTAATTCTTTCACTTTACTTCATCATTACCACAGCAGGATACGTTATTGCGATGTTAAATTCTGCTGTGCCCTTCTCCCCAGCGTAGTCCTTTGTGGAGACTCGTCAACGCCAACATCAGTGGCTCGGTGTCACGGTAAGACAAGAGAAGGTCAGCAATGGTGGCTGTAATGTGGCGCGTGTGCAAAGCGCCACCGCCAACGAGTCATGTTACCTACTCCAAACCTCCACGCGTGCCATGTGACTTCAGTGCGTCGCTCCGCCCAAGCGGAAAGCCACGTGACACCCTCCAGGACACTTGAAGCGTCCGTTGTGGCACATCGTAAGGCGAAACAAAACCTTTCCAAGTTAAACAAAAAGATTACAGTGCAGTCTTTTAGTACATCGTAGTCAAATCCCACAAGGAGTAGGAATCATGTGACCCAGACAGGCAACTCACGCAAGAAAACCTTGACTCACCCGTGTAACTATGACCATCTTGGCAGCAGGAGTCCAGCATCAAAGCTTTAATTCCTGCCTGCAAGGAAACAAAAAACCATAAGCCCATTGTTCTACCCATTGCAACGTTGCCAGCAGAATCTTCAATGGTTTTATATTCAATTAATATACTTAAGCATAAAAAAAGAAAAAAATCATCCTCCCTTTGTTACAGTCTCAAATAAACGCGAGACAAACGGAAAGAACCGGATGATGTCAAAAATTCGCGCGTGCAACAGACTAATGAAAGAGCTGTCAAAACGGTTTTCACGATGCATAACAAGAGACGATGACGGGTCGTATTCATTGCTCACGGTTGGGAAGATTATGACACGTCAAAACGGAGCACTTCAGAAAGCTATCCGTCCAAGAAACAAAGAAGGCGCGTGTTTCATTTCTAGAGTGTTCCTGAAAACCACTCTTTGCAAAGAAGAATTCAAAGGACGAGAAGACGGGATGATATAAAGATGTACTCAAAACTGTATTATATCCTCAAAAATGCATCACCTTGCTTGAGAGCACAAAACAAGAACAAAAACAAATGCTTGGTGTTAAAAAAAAAAAAAGAAGTTTACAGTGTTTTTACATTGCAGAAAAAAACTGTGGGCATTGAAGGCCGAGAATTTGCCTACTGGTAGCCCCCAGCAAAAATAAAGTTTGAGTCCACAATGTTATCCAAAGGAAGAAAAAAAAACATAGGAACAATTTTAGAAAAGTGTAGTGTATCCTCCTACTCTAGGCAAGCATAGCATTCTGTCAGTGACCAACGCTAAAGAAATTATAAGTTGAATGTTTAGACGTCGAGATGTCTGTCAATCTTACGGAGAGAGGGCTGCATCTGAATTCTTTGGAGGGAAAGGAAGGTGGGAGAGGAGGAAGCAAACACATGCTGGCGAGGGGAGGGGGTTTCCTTCTTCCAGCATTAGCGTTGCGTCAGGTTCCTCCTGTTTCATCTTCCTTTCCCTCGGAGCGGAAAGCGAACACATGCCCTCCCCCTCTCACCCAGTGCGTCCTCTGCTCCGCCGGGTGGGCTGTACCTAACATCCCGCTGACGTTCAAACTCTGTTTAAAATCGCGTCATCTTGGAAATTTCAAGCGCAGATGCGCGGATTTTCATATGCAAATTATTGTGTAATGCTGTGCTCAACAAAAAGCTAACCGGGTTCGATTGTGCTGTTACCTGCGTGCAAATAAAAAAAAAAAAGAATGGGAAAGCTGTGTCAGAATGGCCGATCTCTCAGGCGAAAAGTAAATCCGGTTGCTGTAGCTTTTTTTTCGCTCTACAATGTTCGTACTGGTATAGGCCTTCAGCGACAATGAGTGGAAGTCTGGAATAATAAATAAAAACGTGCTCTCCTGACGAAATAGACGCAGTAGCTGAGGGTAGTACAGCCGGCTGTCTCCACTGCTATTAAAGTAACGGAACAACGACACGCTAATTGATCATTTACTGAAATAAAACAACAGAGCGCTAAAGGCTGATTTTGGAGTAGCCATAAATATTTTAAGAACGCGAACCACTTCATAACAGCAACCACGAGCGAGAGTTCGATGTTCGGTACAGCCCACCGGTACAGCCCGCCGGTACAGCCCGCCGGTACAGCCCGCCGGTACAGCCCGCCGGTACAGCTCAAAGATGAAAAACGGCAACCTCCCGGTTTGTCGTCTGCTGTACTTTGTTTCACCTCGTGTTGTACCGCAGGAAAGGCTACAAGCGCGAGCTCCTTGCTCTAGGGCACATCTCGTTGGCACAAGCTCTCGTGCACTAAGGGCAGCTGCCAACGTTGTGAGCTCGCGGTTCTAGCCTTCGCTGCGGTACAACATAAGGTGAAACGGAGTATAGCAGAGTCGGGCCATAGTCGGGCGCATGTTATCTCTCTCGTTTTACCCCGCCGAACTTGCTGAACTTCCTGGATGTGTGGAGAGGGCACTGCGGTCGAACAAAATGGCGCCGTCCAGAGAGCGCTAAATGGAATGGTCTATAGCAGGGGTGGCCAAGCTGCGGCTCGCGAGCCGCATGCTGCTCTTCGCGTGTTAAAGTGCGGCTCGCGGCTCCCTCCCTCCCCCCCCCCCCCCACACACACACACACACATACTCACTCCCCCACCTCCCTCCCTAACATACGATCACTTCCCCCAAAAGAGATATGGAATGCGTTTTAAATCGAAAAAACAGGTCGTGGTTCGGTAGTCTTGTGCTACTGCTACATAACGAACAGTTGGACTGCTTTTGACTCGGATAGATTGAAAGTAGTTCCGAGTTTCGTATATTGCTCTGGACAAAAGTTTCAATTTGTATGTTCTTTTTAACCCGGGAAGTCCCAACTTCTGTGTTCAAATTAATCACTTAAATTAAATTTTGATATCCGAAATAAAATATTAAAGTACCTAAATGACAGCAAATATGTGACCGAGTAGTGGGTGTAGTTTCTTTAAATTTATAAATAAACCGAGCCAGCGAATATGTTTCTGTCGCAAAAACGATGAGGATCTAATGCACCCTTAGGTGTAATAATATAAACAAACAAATCACCTGAGGTTGAGGTTACCATTATTCCGAGCATCAGATAAAATACAAGTCAAACATTCGTCGCCTATCTTATGTATATCTTATATATAATAAAAAGCAATTCTTTTCAGTGTCTTGTGAAGACAAAGTACGATGCTTCCAGGGAGCACATATAGTGCTTCCTGGAAGTCGTAACAGATCACCATCACCATACTCAATATGTAATAGTCAGCTGGCATCTGTAGCCTCTTTCAAGCATCTCGGTGTTCACGTCACTTCTAACCTATCATGGAAAACTCATTCAGATCATATAATCGCTAACGCCAATTCAATGCTTGGATATTTAAAACGAAACTTTTCCTTAACCCCTATGTCCCTAAAACTTCTCTTGTATAAGACTTTAATATGTTCAAAGTTGGAATATGCCGCAGCAATCTGGGATCCAGGTCACTCAACGCTTATAACAAACATCGAAGCCCTGCAAAATCGCGCCGCACGATTCATAGTCTGCAACTATCATCATACCGCAAGTGTCTCATCTATGAAAACCACCCTAGCCCTGCCCCTTCTTTCCTCACGTCGGAAAATATCTCGTCTACACCTCTTCCATAAAATCTATCATTCCAACGCTTCAGTGAAAAACAAACTATTCATTAGCCCCCCCTTCATTTCTCCCCGCATTGATCACAAACTTAAAGTTGGCATACCTCATTGCGAAACTTCAGCTTACATCAATTCTTTCATTCCTAGAACGTCATCTGAATAGAACCACCTTCCCGCATCATTAGTAACTATTCCATCAATAGACTTATTTAGAAAAGCTCTAACTACTCACTTTTGCTAGGATTATGCCGTAATTTGAATTTTATGCAGAGCCAATATTTTATGGCCACTTCCTCTGTAATGCCCCTGGGGAGGGTATTGAAATAAATAAATACTGGCTTCATACGATGATAATTCCTAAGCAAACCTTCGTTGTCATAAGTAATGTACTTTTAACCGTTGCGCTGTCCTAGAGTCACCTACATACTCAATCTGCGTAAGTACTAATTTATATGGCCCCTTGAACCTCTTCACATGCATCCGGCCCGCCCAGGTGAAACTAGTGAAAACATGTCATAACATTTGCTGCAGAAGTTAGGCACACATTAATGGAATGCAGTTAGGTAGCAAATTTAATAAGGATCAGAGGCCACTTCACAGAGCAAGGCAAGAAACGCGATGAGAAACACGACTGCAATGGCTTCGCCAAGGCGCGGAGAGGAGAGCGGAGCGAAGAGTGCATGAGCAGTGTGACGGCGGCTTTAAAAGGGCCCTCCAACGAAATTCGAGCTTGTGCCCTTTTTATGCTGAGGCGCCGTTCCGTCTGTCGTCATGCACGGCGGGGACAGACAACGCCGGAAGGCCCACTTCCTGGACAACCCTGTCCCCATCGGACTTCCGATTCGCGGGGACAGCGATCGCGAGAGGAGGTCGCCGACAACGGACGCCCAGCCAACCGCGAACTTGGCCAACTGCCAGCCGAACAGTGGGCCACAAAAAAGAACAAAGACAAGCGACGACGAAGAGAAAAGAGCCGTTGACCGCTGGACCACGGACGAACGGACGGACGGTGCCAAGTGCTCATTGTCCAAGACCAGCAGGGATGAGAGGGAAAGAAAGGGAAGACGGGAGCGTCGGGAAGAGGAACTACGGCGACTCTGGTAACCCTTAAGCTGACAGTGCGGTGGACGCTACGTGCTCGTTGGGACAGTCGTACGGCTATCTTTGGCCACGTGATCACACTCCTGTCCTGTACCACACGCAGAGGCACATTATAACGCCTCCTAGGGCTCTACCACAGTTCATCCCATGGTCATTTCATCCCAGGACAGTTCATCCCAGGCACTTCGTACCAAAGACACTTTCAGGGACGCTTGGGGCGTTTTCTGTGTGTCCCCTTTTTCGCCCGTCGTCTCCGGTTTTTCAAAAATGTATAACATAAACCAGCTCGCCTGCCTACTCCATCTTCAACACTTTATACCAGGACATTTCATACCAGCAAACTTATGCGCCATCTAACGCCAAACGTTCACAATGTCCGAATATGGAATGTCCTTGGGCAAAGACGTCTTGGGATATCTTCGGTATGAAGTGCACCGGATGAACTTTCCGGGATGATGAAGTGCCTGGGATGGAGTGGACTGGACTCCGCCTCTTAGACGACAAGGCCGTAGCGCTGAATTTCAGGCGTCACCTACAGATATTAGACACACGAGTGGCGCGTGCAGCTGGGACTCATGCCCAATGAGTGAGAACAAGCCCCAGCTCAGTGTCTTGTGCGTTTGATACTGATCAACTCGTAGCCTCGGGGCTCGGCACGCCCGGCGTGAACCTTTGCGTTTGTTTATTCGCTAAATGCGTCCACGTGCTTTTGTTTCCCCTCGACCTCAACCAAAGACAGTGCGCGCTTGGCTGCCCTGTCAGCGCGCATTTATTGTGCGTTCTCTATAGGGAGTTTTCGTAGATCGTTTTCGCCGTCCCGTAACGCC